AAGAACTTAAGATAATCCAGAGAATACTTGAGTAGGCGGAGCACACTGTTTTTTGAGGAGTATTCTTCCTTATTCTCTTGTCACAGGGTTCTGTTTTCTGTTCATTTGTCTGTTCATCATGTGAAAGATTTTTATAAGCAGATATGCAACCTTTTATTAACAAGTTCTGCTGTCTGCCACTAGCCTACTGGAATTATTTGCCTTTTAAAGGTAACATGACTCTTTGATACTGGCATGGGTAAAAACCAACAGGTACAAGTTGACTGACATCTGTATTGCTGGGTGAGATGGGAGGGAGCTTTTTTATATTAGTCTTCATTCTGTCTCCTTACTTTTGTTGATGTGTGGTTTCTTTGAGCTCATTTTCTCCTGTTGTGTCCCTTAAGAAGAGTTGGGAGAGAGTGGGAGAAGATTTAGTCTATAGTGCTTTTTCCTGAGCTGTGTAAAAAGTTTGGGATTTTTTCACCCTGAACTGTGAAACAAGTCCTGCAGATAGTGCATGGCATGACCTATTCTTATTATGGATTTAAGGTGTCATGGAATTGGTAGACTTGCATCACTGTTGCTGAGGAAGCAGAGATTCCTGGAAGGTCTTTGGGTGACTGAAAGGATGTACTTGGTCTAAACTGCCATGTTCAGAGAAGGAAAGGAAAATTAGAGTGGGCTGATGTGACCCAGAATAATTTTTCCATGAAGAGGGTGAAAAAGCAATAAAGCTTGTTTGGTTTAGCTGCCAAAGGGTAGTGCCTTCAAAACCCTAGAGACTGGACAAAGGTAAACCCAGCACAGTTAAAGAAGTAGCTAAGCTGTAATTCAGTTGAAGCTGAGTTTTTAATTCTGAATTTCTTCTGTGTTGGTTTGTAGTCATTAAACTTTATGCTACCTCAGTGAGAGTGCTGGGCACTAGATATATTTGCTTCCTTTGTCAGCCAGGCACTGTTGTTATTTCTTTGCCGCTGTTTAAAAGCAATGGATGTAACATCTTGGAAGCTGGCTAACAATGTACACAATATACCTTTGGTTTTGTCTCTTCATTACTAGGAGTTCGTTCCCTCTACCCAAACAGCTTTCTGCTACATGCTGCCTAGGTGGTGGGCATCTGGTATTCTTCTTTTTAGTTAAAAGTCCTTAGAATTGTTTGGGTTTTTTTTTACCACTTTTCAATGTTGATAAAGTACAGAAAAGAGACTTTTTGTTAGGCTTCTGCATGCACTCAGGCATTTGCTTCTGGAACCCACTCATAATCCTGACTGTTTCATTAAGGAAGGCTTTCTTGTATAATTACCTAAGTATGTTAGTACTGCTGTTATTTCTGCAGTCTTCTACCTCTGACTATGTGCTCCTCTTCCTCCTCATGCTGACACTTGGCTGTGTCTCATCTCATGGTGAGAGAGAGTTACCTGATGTATGTATGTTGGGTATCTATTGCTGAGGTTAATTTTCTTTTAGTTTAGCTTCTTGAATCAGCTTGCTACATGAGGATATGAGAGCAACCACTGATGCAAAAATTGGAGTAGAAAGTACATATGGCAGGAGGAGGGTTTACAGCAGTTATCAGTTTAGCTTAGCCTAACTTCTTATAAGACTGCATGTACCCCGAGATGTTTCAAAAGAGGTTCTTTTAAGGTGTAGTTGGTAACATTGTTTTTTAACACTAATGGTTTGGATACCTGATGACCTGTCTTGTGAGTGGAAGTCCTAAGTTTACTTGGAATGTTGCTGCTGATGAAGAGAAGACCATATTGGCTGTCACATAACTGTGACAGTGTTGGCAGTGTCACCAGCCACGTTGCAATCCTAAAAAGAACATGCAATTAAATGTTGACATTAAAACCTCTATTATAACTAAATTAAAAATGCCAATCTCCTCTTTCGGATTTTCCCCAAATGCATAGCCTGCTACAGATGTTGATATGGTTCCCTTCACAGCAGTCATTCTGGTTTAATTAAATATCAGCACTTGCTGACAAGAATATCTTTATTCTGTAGGCACATGAGAATACAACAGAAACCAAAACTTTACATAGCAGAGCTCATGGTAAGGAGTTTGTCAGAAAGTTCCTGAGTGAGTCAAGCTGTTTTTCTGTGCTTTTTGTCACGTTTGCAAATTTCCTTGGGGGATAAGAGGACTGCCTCTGCTCATCTGCTGTAGTATTGGCATTGTTCACTGCTTAATGTGGAGCTAAAGTATCTTATCTATTCCCTGCTTCAAGTGTGAGCTTTGGGGAGCTGCAAAGGGACTGAAGTATTTTGGGTGAAACACAAGTAATCTTATCACTGGTAGAGACTAGAGTTTGCAGTTGTTTGTCAGTCACTGGTTTTTGTGTCTAGGAGGTCGTGAATTTGTTCAAGTTCAGAGGTCTTGGTAAAGTGGATTTTCTTTCAATACAGTCCGGGAGAAATTCAAACCATTTGAAAAGATGTAAGCAATCTAAATTTCAGAAATTCTTTCTAATGTGCATAATGAAACATGTTTAAGTTTTCTTGGCCATTTGCTATTCTTTTCCACTCCTTTGTCTTCCCTTTCTCAGCCACCAGTTTCTACAATAAATTTTAGGTAGAGTTATGAACACCAAGTTTTTCCTTTTATAACCTCTGCTGTTACTGTCTTGTTGCCAGATACCTTGAAAATTAGCCAGAAACTCAATTGCTTGATGGCTGTGTTCACTTGTTGAGACTTGCTTATTTTTATGCACAGAGTTCTTATACTTAGGCTTTGGAAGATTTGTATTCTGCAAATTGTTGAAGCCTAGAGATGCTTCCTGTTCACTGTTTCAGGCACCCTTGCTATGTTATATAATAAAGAAAACTTTCTATTTCACTTGATAAAAGTATTAAATACTGCTTTACTTGGATAGCACAATCGATAAGTAGTTTATATCAATGTGTAGCAAAACATTTCTGGGCCCTTGAAAAAGAAGGTGACTGGAAATAGTCAGCATGGCTTTACCAAGGGTCAGTCATGCTTGACCAACCTGACTGCCTTCTGTCAAATGACTAGGTCTTGAGTTGACAGGAGAGCAGTGAATGTTTTTTTTTTTACTTTGACCTTAGCAAGGCTTTTTACAGTGTCCCACAGCATACTCCTGTTAACAGTCTGAATGGGAGGATGACTAGACAAGTGAAAACTGGTTGAAGACTCATCTCAAAGGGTGGCTGATGGATTATACTCTGCCTGGACAGCAGTTACAGCTGGAGCTCCTCAAGGGTCCGCTGTGACCTATTTTATTTTTTTTTAAATGTCTTTTTCAATGATCCAGAGGAGAAGGTGGAATGCACCTTCATCAGGTTTGTGGTAGACACAGTCTACCACAGAGAGTGGGTCTAGAGTGGGCCTGTCAGAATCTTAGGAAGTTCAACAAGGGCACATGCCAAGGCCTGCTTCCAGGATTGGTAACCCTTCTGCAGTACTACAGACTGGTTGGGTTGTAGCTCTACTGGGAAGGACCTGGTACTGGTGAAGAGTAGGCTAAATACAAGTCAGTAGTTCACCCTGGTAGTGACGAAAACAGCCTTATTCCCCTTCAGTTGCCATTTGTTCCAGATGTTCCCAGACTGCATCTGTAATACTGTGTCCAGTTTTGCTCCCCTTCTCTGTACACACAAGAACAATGCTGATAAATTTAGGACAAGTCTACCACGATGGTCACGTACTCCAGCTGCCTGACCTGTGAGGGGATGCTGAGAGCTGTTCATGGCCTTGTTTAGCCTGGAGGAGAGATGCTTAGGAGAGACCCAATAGCAACCATCTGGTATATGCAAGGATGGATACCAAGAACATGGAGCCAATCTCCTTACTGAGGTGCACAGTGGGAAAACAAGAAACAGTGGTCATAAATTGAAATGGATGGATATATGTTGAAAAATTTTTACTGTAAGGATGGTTGTGAAGAGATTATAGGAGGTAACCTGTAAGCCTCTGTGGAGGTTTTCAAGACCTGAGTGGATAAAGCCCTAGGCAACTGGGACTGAGTTCAACATTGACTGCACTTGGAGAAGGAAATTGAACTGGATGACCTCCTAGGTCCCCTCCACTCTGAATTATTCTATGAAGGAACACCCATGGCAGGGTAGCCAAACTAATCAATACATTTTGATTTACTTGGGAATTCCATTCCTTGTGAGTGGCATTTATTTCTACTGCTCCTAAATAAAATAGTTTGAACATAAACAGTTACTTGTTGACTATTTTTTATATTAAGCATTAGTTACTTGAAATCTACATATTGAGTAAGCATGGAATAAGCAAAGTACCTTCATTGAATAAGCTCATTTAATCTAAGAAAGGAAGGAAAAACATTATTTCTCAGTGTTGAAAAAGAAGCTTTAGAACTTTACAGTGATCAGTATGCCTTGTCTCTCACTTGCCTTCACCCATTATTCTGAACCTTGTAAAACAAAGCAATTTGTAGAGCGTTTGTTGTTTGAAGTTACTGAGGGGGAAGAAAGATATTGGAAAAGGAAAGTAAATCTCAGTTTCTCTGAGATTGGTTCACTTCCCTCTTTGCCCAGGCCTATGAAAAGAAACTCATCCTAGATGTTACATGTAAACGTCTCCAAAATGGAGAAGGCTTTAGTCAGATTTGTGCTGCAGAAATTATATACTGGTATATCTAGGTATGGTAGATTGAACTGTGATAGCCTTTCTCATGTGTTTGTGAGAAAAACAACTTTGTTTCTTTATCATAACCAAGATAATTTTGGTGAATGGTCAGGTGTGTTTCTGCTTTTGCTTTTAAAGAAATCTGTAGTGGCGAGTAACAAGTTTCTTTGTCATGGTTTCTGTGCTTTAGAATAAGTTTGAATCTCAACTTTGAGTCTTTCTTTTCTTTCGAGTCCAGGATCTGGATATATTCTTGTAAATGATTGCATTAGTATGCTAGATTTTCCATCCTCTCTACACTTACATGTATGCATGGTTGTTTATGCAGGCTCTCTCTCTGTCATGTGGTTGTACGTATTCCTGGTTTGGAAATAGACTTGCTTACACAATTTCTGTGAAGGTGGTACGCATTGACAGTGGGAGTTTTTTCGCAAGTAGTGGCCATTGAATGGTGTAGCTTAGATCACTTCATATGTTCATGTCTAATGAGTGAAAGGCATTCACATGATCTTTTGCTGCATTACCTTAGATGAGTAGCAACTTCTTGATTAACTTGGCCACTTCCAGTGGTTCCTATGTTTTATTAGTTCCAGTCTAGAAGTTGCTATTAAGCAGTTCTTGAGCTATAGATTTTATTGAATATTGGGTTGAACTAGGAGAGGAAATCGGTCAATTCTTCCATCTTACTACTTTCAGACTCACAGGCTCTTCTGCTTTATTGACCCCTAATATACAAGGAAGAGTCTCTAAAGTGAATCTTTATCAGAAGGACAAAGATCTGGAAGAAGTTTGATTTTTATACTACGTTCAAGGTAAGACTTTCAAAATTGTCAATGATCAGATGACAAAAAGCATGAATACTGAGGCTTGCAAAATGGTACTATTTCTGAGTTCTTGGCTTCTTGCATATTATGCTATTCCTGCAGAATATTATGAATATTTATTAAGTATTAAATACTTCTACATAATTCTGTGGAAATACACTAATGTTCAGAGGCATATAAGCTAGCAGTGGCTGTGTTCCTTAACTGAAATAGTTAAGTAGGCTGCTACTTGTAACTAATGCTTACTATGCAAGCTGTCTTCTGGATAGCATAGGTGTTCCTACTTCTAAAACTGATACACTAAGTTGCATGATATAAAATGGAATGTCTTATTAAATTGGCAGCGTCTTGGTAACTCTTTTTGATTTACTTTAAGGTCCTGTGCTGAGCTTGTAATTTCTCTGTGAATGCAATATTATAGCTGTTGAGTGACATTTCCAGTCAATTTCAAAATATCAGGAAATAATTGGGAGTCAGAGGGCAGGTTTGCTGCATTTTGGAAGGAATAGTAGATGCGTTTCTTTCAAAAAGCCATAGCTTCAAGCACATATACAGTTGTGATCTGTCTGCAAATTAAGAGCACCTATCAAGTGTTATGAGCCATTAACATCATTCAGCAGAGTAATACCATTGCCTTCAGCTTCCATGCACAGTTTAACAAAATGTTTAATAAAGTTTGTTGTGTCACTCCCACACCGATCCCAGGGAAGAGTGGAGGATGTAACAAGGACTAGGGGGATAAAACCTGTAGCAGACAAAGTAGAATTCCCTCTGATGGGACCAGTCTCGGGGAGAATGTTGATGGAGCGTTCTGTTGACTGGGCTAGCATCATGTTCATGGCACTCAAAGGGAGGAACTGAAAAAGTGGTTGAGAGGAATGGAGAGGCACATAGCTATCCCTTGCAGAGATGCTAGTTTGTGTAAGAAGGGGAATACAAGGCCATGGTATCCAGCCATAGGACAGATGGTGGAAACATTCACATGGAGTCACTCAGAATGATGTAGAAGTTTTGGGGACTGGAAAGCACAAGTAGCACTTAATGTAAGCAGCTGGTTGCCTAATGCTAGCCCTTCAATTTTAGGGGGTGGAAACCTACTGAAATTGGCATTCATTGTGCTGAATTCAGCACTTATTTGAAGGCTCAGATCAGCAGTCTTCCATTCATGTACCTATTTCTAATTTGTTGTGACTGTGTGGTTCTGTTTTTTATATAGTAGGTTTTACTGAATTATCTGTGCTAATCCTGAAGCTGAATGTCTACTTTTCTTTTTAAACTGCTAAATTAATCAGATTCTTTCAGTTGTCATTCTGTAAAAGCCTGAATATTTAAGAGTATTCCTTTGTGTGCCTTGATTATTTTTTTTTTTAAATTTTTTTTTATGGATACCTAGTTTAATCAAGACAGTTTGTTAAACCTAGTATGGAATACATGCAGGTTAAGCTTTACATGTAGTGAAGTGGTAAGACACAGATGTGAGCTTTGGAAGATAGAAATTGTTTTAAATATCTTGATGTGTTGCCTTGATAAATGGGATGACAGAGTAGAGTGTCTGCCCCCTTGCTACAATTAATGTGGGTTTTTATGCATCTTTGTGCTAAGATGTTCCCATCACCATTCAGTCCAGCAATGGCATGACTTGCAGCCAACAGTATATAGGAGCAGTAACCTTTGGTGGAGCTGGAGATGGTGTCTTAATCTGTGCTATCCAAATTTGCCTGCAGCTGATGTCTGACCTGATGAGTAGCATAAAATGAATGTTGAATTATTAATGTGCTTGCTTCCTGGAATCCTTTTTGCTGTCAAGTCTATGTAGGCCTATCATTGCTGCATTGACTGCCTATTATGCCCTCAAGCACCCTTTCTAATATTGATTTCTTGAAAACTGGCATGGTCTTCTTGCATGTTAGTTTTAACATTCTTATTGATAAAATTGCCCTTTGAATTTTTGCAGGTATAGTTCGACATGTATTGTGATACTTGCATAGTGGCAAAATTAAAACAGTTTTTACTCAATAGATATATCTGAGACTTCAGCATTGAAATATATATATTGCAAATCAAGAGAGTTTAAACTGTATTGATTAAAAGTGAGTAAAAGTGATTTATTGTGAAACTGAAGTTGCAGTACTAATTGGACAAAACTTTGAGTATTTAAGCTTGCAAGTTGCCAAATGGCTGCTTCTTGCTAAGTACTCCTCTGTTTAGATGACAAGTGAAGCAGTTCAGATAGCCCCAATGCAGACACCTGAAAAAGATTCCATGTGTCCAGGCAACGATACTGGAGACTGCTGCCAGAAAAAAAGGTAATGGAAATTTGCTTCACTCTGCAGTTCCTAGAGATAATTAGACTTCAGACTTTTTCTTAAAAAGTTTCTCTATCCTGATGGAAAAGTAGAGCATGCTGTAAAAGTTCAGGGGGGGAGTACTGTGTTCTCTGAAGTAGTCTGACAAGCCATCTGTGATCTTAAACCTAACTTTCTATACTATACTGTGGATTGAATAGTATGTATCATGTGATTACAGGTATATTGATCCTGTTACAGTATGGGAGTATATCATTATATATCATGTATAATCAGCTGCTTCTCTTAAGCATTTATTTATAACTGCCTTAAAAATGCTTTGAGATATGCCTTATTTGAAATGAGCCAAATCAGTTCAACTGGGTTGATTTAGGAAGGTGATAAATCTGTGTCAGCAATAAGGGAGTGACTTTCTAAGCAAATAGACCCTCTTAAAAATTTTAAGGTGTCTTTATGTTTGTAAGTGCTGATTCTCTTCATAATACAGTACTGTTACTGAAATAACTTTGCTAGTAGGTAGAAAAAAATTCTTAACATGGAAGAGACTAAGGGGGGGGGAAAGATATTCTAAAACTGTAATTGAGGTATAAAAATAACTACATATTTTAACAATTCCTATTTGGAGCCTTCAATTCCTGTATTATTTAAATTAGTTCTTTTGGATGATTGTGTGTAGGCTGTTAGTTGACATAACGGTTGCTTGAATTATGTCTTTCCAAGTTGTGTGCTTTGCAGTAAACATTAAAATGCATATAGCATAGTAAGTGTTAATATTTGGCAGCTTGTAGTACTGGTGTTCTTATCTTACTGATTTGAATGTGCTGGTGATTTTGTTACGGTGTTGAAGGACCTTTTTTTGCATTTTATACACGAAAGGAGTTAAATTAACCTAGCAAGTGGTAACATGGCTAAAAAAAGCCACAAGTAGGTCTAAGTGGTTGAGTACTGTGGTGCAGAATTTATGCTTCCTGTAACTGCCTGCACAGGAACATCAGCAGTGTCCCAAGGTTTGTTTTTTTTTTTTAATCTACTGTGACGGCTCAGTTTTAGTTCATTTTTATCTGAAGACTTATTCTTCCCTTATCTTCTAAGGGTAAGAACCTTATTAGAGGGGAAGTCCTTTCCCTAATCATCAGTATCATATATAAAGAAATAAAAAAACGCTCTTGTTATCCCTTATACATTTGATACAACTTGATTTCTGTCATTGTCCAACATAGCCACATTAGGGAATTCTTGCTCTATTTTTTGTACCTGGTGCTAACTGAAATGCTGTAATTTTGATCTTTTTGCTCATTTTTCACTCCACTTTGTGGAGTTTAAACTCCGAAGTTTTGGTTATACTTGTGGTCTCACTTAGGGTTGTGTGTATTATACATGTAAGATAGGGAAAGATGTGGTTAGTTGGCATGCGTATATTGTAATGGCTTAATTCCCCTGACAGACAAAATGGGAAGCTGTTGTACCTTTCAGAATCCTTTGTGGGATATTTGCTTTAAATACAGGATCTGTACAGAAAGATGTGTTGTAGAAAGCAGCTTTAAGCTTTTTTTTCTGTCAGGAGCAGCAGAAATGTAAGATCTGGTGTTGAGGATTAAAAAAACCTCCTTATTGGCTTCAGTGGTAGTAGCAAGACTGATTCAAAAGCTGACTTGTTCTAAACATGTTGCTAGCTACTAGATGCTAGGGTGAGATTTTCCACCCAGATAAAAATCAACTTTTGGGAGCTCTAGCTCTTAGCTGGTTTAAAAATCACTGAACACTGTTCAGAGAAGAATTAGTCAAGATAGCCTTCTGCAGAGAATCTGTTCTTCCCCTTTGTGAGCATTTCCTATGAGAGACTGACAATGATATTAATCCTTTGAAAACTGTAAAACTTCCTGAATATATCGTGTAGCTATAGCATCTGGCTCAGTCACATTTGCTGTCTTAGCAATGAAAATAGTAGACAATTCTGTCAGGTTTCTTACCTCTTTATCCTACAGTGTTTTGAAGTCTGTAACAGTGGAGTTTATTATCCAAATGTGCATACTTGCTACAGAATTAACCCTTCTGAAATCTGTTGCTTTCTCTGATTTTCCTGACAACTGGTTCTGTAAGAGTTCTTTTGGTCTTACACTTAAGATGTTTTCTTGAAAGGCTTAGCTAGAAAGGGCTAAGTTCTTTCTACTGCATACTCAACAGAGAAAGTTTTTATTGCAAGATTACTTCTGAATTTGAATACCATAGTTTGCTAACACCTTACTCTTCTCCTGGGGAAAGGAATGACAAATTCTGGATGCTCTTTAATACTGCTATAGTAGGTAGAGTGGATGAGACAGTTCACTTCTGTGTCAAGTGAGGTGTGGTTTAGGGACATGCTGTTTTGGCCCAGAGGAGTTCTGGATAATGTGCTCTGTAATGTTATCATATGACAGGTATGGTGGATTCTTTCTCAGAATGTTTAACCAGTGCTCAGGCTGTGATTTCTGCTTTTTTTTTTTTTAAAGCAGATGGATATTTATAAGTAATCCACCTGGATTGACTGTATTATTTTTTTTTTAAACATTGATTTGAAGGCCAGATGTTCAGAAAGGCAACAAATGGACAGATGGTTTCAAACTGACTCATTAGCTATTGCTACCTAGGTATTCTAGCTAGTAAGATGATAATAAATTTACCTCATGGGGAAACACCATAGGAATATACTCAAAAGATAGGCATTTCAGTAATAGTAAACGTGATCTTATGTTGCCCATGCATATCACCCTCGTGTGTCTGAGCTGGAATTTTGAATCCCCCTCAGGAAGATGAATGTTGCAGACTCTGCCCTTTGCATTAAGAAAAAGAAATGCAAACCCATGCAGAATATGAACACGTCTTCCTCAATCTGCAACTTCCGGGTTGCTGTGGAAGAAATAATGCATATCTAGAACTTTACATACACTATAGCTATAATGTAAGATACGATAAAAGCTAGTTAAGAGACTTTTGGAAGTTCTTCTCTAGAAAGTCCTAGCAGCCCCAATAAACATGTTCAAAGTAGAAGTCCTCTGCTTACAATCTCCTTCTTTGTAGTTTGAGTTTTCTCTGAAAGTACACTAACATATAAATGCAATACATTTTAACTCTTGAAGAAGCTCTCTTCTCCTTAGTTCAGCTAAAGATCAGATAACTGAAAATGAAGAGTTCTGTACTTTGATATTTTTACTGAAGAATGTTAGATGGCCTTTCTCTTCAGCATTCCTGAAACTGGATGTTTGAAAAGCTGTCCAGCATAACTGATTGAGAGATGATTCCATATTTCTGTGCTTGAGTTATACTAAGCATAACTCTGATCTGTTACAGAAGAACAGAGGAGTAAGTGCTTACCAGTGATCTCCCAGTAGGCAAATGTAGATTGCATACATGCATTCTGAATTCCAGTAAGGCTGGCTTTTGGTATTCTTTAATCTTCTGCTTGTATAATTCAAGAGAGTTTGAGTTACTCATCAGCTAGGTGAGCAGTCTCTGCTTCAGGCATTCACTTGTACCAGCATAACTATGTCTGTTGCTCAGCCACATAGTGTGGAAACAGGAACGAGCTGCTGAGAGCAAATAATGCTTAAGCTACCACCAATGCCAAGACATCTGCATAGCCATAAAGTGAATTTACTGATCTAAGTCTTCCCTAAAAGAGAATTGCAGAGAATTTAGGAATTTAAGAGGTACCTTGCAAATATGTATTAAAGATAGGTCTGCAGGAAAAAAGTTCAGAATACCTTCTGTAAGTTGTATCAAAAGGCAGCTTTCCAATGCTGTAGCTTAAGTCCACCATTTGTGAGGTGATATTTAAAAGTATACACCTAATTACAATGCTAAGACCATAGTATTATCAAGCTTTTAGATGAATGTAAAATACTAGTCTAATAGTGTGTTCCTGTTGGAAATTCAGCCTTGAATAGTTCAAATGGCTAACTGGCAATAAAAGTTTGAACTGCAAACTTCAAACGGCTGAACCAAATTTTCACCAGAATCGCAAGTGAATTTATTTCAAGGCATTTAGCTTTTTAAGAAGCCCTGGGTGTTACTTATAAAATGCAGTGGAAAGGTACCTTTGCACTTTTTACAAAACCATAATATTAGATCAACTGTTTAAAAAAAGCATAAAGCACTTAAATTTTTTCACAGACTTTTTAGTTTTGAACTTTTGTTCATTATCCTTCCTTTAACTGTTGTAATAAAGAACATTTTAGTGCCGCTTCCATGTTTGAAAAGGGGAGAAAAGACCCCAACAGAACCCCTACACCCACAAAAACACAAATCAAGGCTTTGTCCAGTCTTGGTTGGCAGGCAATGTTTTTGTATAGAACCAAGAGCCACTTAGCAAATGGAGAGAGAATTCATTATCCTTTTATCATAAAGCATGAGCAACTTTCTCTTTACGGTGAAAGTTGTACATTGTCTCAAGTAATTACACAGAAATTAACTCCTGTTGTAGTTTGGGCTTTGTTGTATATGTAGGCTAAGGAAGAACTACTGCATGAACTTGCAGCACAACTAGTGCACTCCCTTGGTATATGCTTTTATGTTCCTGGAAAAATCAGGTGACCTAATGAATGCCTATTTTAGGAGAGGGATGTTATCTTACATTTACTGTATGGTGGGCACAATACACTAGTATACTAGCTAACCTGTGGTAAGCTTACGCTATTGCTCTTTTCTTTCTTCCTCCTAGCATCTTTTACTTCTGCAAAATCTTTTACTATCTTCTGCGTGAACCAGTTTACAGTTCTGGGGGATGATACAGGCAGTGGTGGTATTGTGATGTCACAAGGTCAGTTATGACACATTAGATTATAGCTTTTTCTGTTGAAGTTCAGGGAGTGGGTTGGTTGGTTTGTTTACTTGTTTTAAAGCAGCAATGATTTGGTTATCTGTGAAAGGTCAGAGTCATAGCTGGTTGTGGAGCAGAATAAAACCAGAGTCTTTCTGGTGCTTCTCTGACCAGAGTCTGGAAACTTGCAAAAGACAGGGTGTTGTAGTGGGTTTTGTTTGTTTTAAACATGAGGATTCAGCTTGAGGATCATTAGTGTTTTGCTACCGGCGTTATTAAGTATGTATTTAATTATGAGGAATAACAGCATTTGATGCCTACCCTTCTGTAAAATAACATGGTAGCGTTCTTCAGATTTCTTACTTTTGAATATTGGGCTTAGTTCTTTAGCAGTGATTTACTTATGATGGCTTTGGCTGCATAGTATTTACCTTCTGAAGAAAATACTGTAAACATGGTGAAATTCAAATTCTTTATTAGCCAAGGAATATTTAAGTTGTGCTCAGTTAAAAACTGTTCTGCTGTAGGGTACTGGTGTCTTATTAGCAAAAATTATAAAAGTTTACTGAACTAACTTAGTCCTCCTCAAATATTAAGTGTTTACATACTCCAGAGATCCGAGGAGCCCAAATAAAATGCTTAATACACCTTGCAATTTTGTTAAGCCTTTAATAGGACCATTCAGCTTTATTCTTGTGATGTAATTTATGATTAGCAATGTGGATAAGACCATTTCATTTATGTATGTGAGCATTTTCTGCACACAAATTATTGGAGGCTGGATAGAATAGCTTGTTATCCCAAAGCTGTATCATTAACCTAATTGTGTTTTCACATGGGAAAAAAAATTACACAGCTTATTTGGAGAAGAGTCACTACTGTGCAGAAGTAAGTAGGAGTCATGTCCCCTCTTTGTGCAATGTTTAGTGGCGGAGTATATATCTTAAGATGTTTTGGTGTTTTGGGACACTGAATACTGTATTTCTCACTTCTGAGAACTAGTGTAGATAGAATTCGTGTAAATAGGAGCATATTCTGGGATAAGATGCTCCCAGCCCAAAATATCCATCTTTGAATCTGCCCTACTCTAAGCAACCTGTCTCTGGGCTAAAAGTCAGCCTTGTCTAATGAATGCTCTTACATCCTCTGTAGAGTAGAAGAGTTTGGGAAGGGTCAAGCTTCTTGCTTCTAGGAAGCATAATGGTTGTCTTCTGCTCTGCTATTGTGAGTCAGCCACTTCTAAAGGCTACTGGAGTAGCATCAGAAGAACTGAGGCTCTTGAGCACTTTGTCGTGTAAGCACCCTGTACCCTCCTAGTTAAGGGGATCTTCTGAAGGTGGAAGGCAGTGCTTGAAGGAAGTTGTGTCTTGGTCATTCATTCTGTGTTCATGCCCTAGTCATTGGTTTATTTAAGAAGGAGTTAGGCTGATTTGTGCAACTTTGTGAATCTGTGCTTCTTGTAGGTTTGTTTTTTTTCTTGAAGTTCTTGGATGTGGAAACATCTTTTTTTTACTGAAACTTTTAAACTTTTTGGGGAGGGCTGCCATATAGTCCAATGCAATGATTTAGGTTACTTGCGGTCTAGTTCTTTCAAAATACTTTTTCACAGTTCATTAATGATTTAGTGGATGCCGCTTAAGGTGTACTTTCACAATACTCTGAGCAAATCTGAATCGGCAGCAGCTGCTGGTTCTGCATTTCTGGCATTGGCACTTGTCTGGTCGTGCATTTCCTAAGCTGGTTCGGAGAGTTGAAGTCGCAGAAAATAATTGACTTTTTCTGGCTCAGTTTGATTCCTTGAACCATCCATCCTGTTGTGGTGCTTAAGAAGAAAGAAACCTGGGGAGAATACAGGGTGTGCACCAGTGTAACGTTACAGGCATAAAACTTACTGAACCCCTACAATTCTTCAAACAGTAGCAAAGTATTCCTTCTTTTGAGCAATTTCTTGCTTATGACACTTTTTGGTAGTGGAAAAGCACTGTTTGGAAGAGGCAAGCCATAATGAAATGTCATAGCTCCATTCTTGGATCAGTAGGCTTAAAGTCAAGGTCGGCAGTATGTCCCCTTTATGACTCATTCAGCTCATCAGAGTGCTATAATCCATTTAAAATCATCAGTGTTACATAGTTCCTTCTACCAGTGTAATGTCATGGTAACTTTTATAAGATGCAGTGGTTTATAAGATTAAATATGTAGTCCCTGATCCATGAAGGAATTTGGGCATTTGCATCCTGTTCAAACCAATGAGTAGATGCCTAGATGCTTTTGTAGATACACACATCTGAATTGTTAGTTATCTGCTACTTTTACAGTTTAAGCTGAATTTGTTTACTTTTATAGAAACTACTTTTAAAGAAACATAATAATTCTTATTTCAGAGGAGATTAAATACTTTTGCAACTGAAGCTTATTGCTTTTGTTTTAAACTCTTGTGCATTTTTACATCTAAGCAAGCAGAATAAAGAGCTTACAAATTAGACATGCTGCACTTGGTGGGTTTAAGTTTTGTCAAACACTAGAGTATACTCTGTCATTGGAGCAGGTGAATAAAATTAAGCAAATAGTACTGTTAAGCTAACAGGCATGCAAAAGCTATTACTTCTGTTACTGAATTTAGGGACTTGAATGCCAGGTAATAGGCTAGGTGACTTTTGAAGTGCTAGTCTGTGCTGGTGAAGGAAATAGGAAAAAAATTGATCTGATTCTTTGTTAGCATGAATCTTTAATATTGTGTTTAGAAAGTGTACTGAAAGGTCTTTTGACATCCAGGCATAGCTTTAGTTCAAGCACTTCTATTTAGGAAAATTGTATTTATGAAAAAAATCATGTACAAATCTGTTGTAAGCCATCTGGAGTAGCTAACTACTTTCTTTGTTTCTTTCTAGGAAATACCAAAATAAAGCAGATGTTGTGTCCTGTACTGTTATCTCAAGGTTTTGCAAGTCATTCTGTTACATGCTTCTTGGCAGCAGGAATGTAAACTAATTCTTTCAGCACTGAACTAGAACCTTGACTAGGTTGCAGTTAAAGGTAAGAACAAATTCTGCCACTTGGAAATTTATGGGAAGGTATAATCACTTTTACTTTGACTGTGTTTTAATTTGTAATTGACCAAGAAGTTAACAGAACTTTCAGAACAGATTGGATAAAAGGATGTGGTGTTTTTCTTCTTCAAATGCATTTGAATTTCGCTTAATCTTATTTTTAATAGGGAGGAAATATAACTTCTCTCTGCTATAGTACAAAGCACTGTTAATAAATGGGGGGGGTGGGGGGGGAAGTAGTTTTTCAACATCTAAATGTGTGCTGACCCAGATTTTGAGGAAGGTATTGTCTCACACAAAGGACTGTACAGTGTCAGTCAGTAAAAATCACGAAGTGTTTTGCCACTGTGTGTTAAGGTCAGCTTACTGTCTGTGTGTGGTGCTTTTCCCTTCAAAGTCTGTTTCCTTGAATGTGCTAATAGCAGCAGTACTGCTTAAGTTACCTTTTTTTTAATCAGTTACAGAAAATCTCTAAATTTTTGCTACAAGTCCACTGTTACTTCAACTCTTGAATCACCTTTTCAAGGGTAAAAGTTGGTGTCGTCTCCCAGGTCAATGAAATTGTTTTGGCTGCTGGTTTTCTATCATAACTTTATCTGACAATGATAGATAAGAAGATAACTCTTGTCCCACTACTCAATCACTATCTTCTAAACTAGTGTGTAGGGAACTAAAAGTTAATGTTCTCTTAATCTGACTTCTTGTAAAAAAAGATAAATTCAATGCCACAAAATTGTATTAATTAAAAAAACCAAACCAGAAAAAACCCCAAACCCCCACAAAACCAAAAACCAAAACATTACCACAAATACCTGTCATAGAGATTGCATATTCTGGTTTGTATGTCTCTGAATAATTTATTTCTGTTTTTAAACAGGGACTATGTGTTTTGAAGACTGCCTGTGAAATAGCTTTATTGCATATGCTGAATCTGCAGAATTATGATCAAGTTAAGGCCTTTCAGTCTTGATTTCACATTTTGGTATCTTTGACAGGAAGAGTTGCTTGCCTTAGATTGCGCTTGTCAATAGTGGCAGGACAAGAGATTGGCCTGTTGGTATCAAGCAGTGTAACATGTCTTTGAAGTTGGATGATGCATAGGTCAGTGACAGGTTTGTGCCTGGGAGGTGCCATTGATTGTTCTGCTGCTACAATGAAAGAAGGGTTCAAATGTGTTTTGTTTTGGTTTTTTTTGTTGTCTTGACTGCATGTACTTAATTTGCAGTGATGTAACAGGTTGAAAAAAGGCACAACTCTTCTTACACTGTGTAAGTCATGGACTAATTTATGTTGGAATGGACCTCTAGCATTCATCTAGCCCAACCCTTGTGTCTGACTTCCTCAGATTTCTGTATGAATCAACAAGTCACCCCTCAGTTATGTAAATAAAAGGTTTAGTGTTTTACTGTGGTTCTGAAGACCTGCTGCAGAACACTTATTCTGGTCTTTCAGACCTGTTTAGGAGCAATTTATTGATGATACAAATTGGTGATTCATTGCTGCCCTATTCTCACAAAAACATGTCTGAATCTTCTAGTAAACGTTCGAAAAGGTAAGAAAAGTTGTCTTAAATGCCTAATTTAGAATAAGGGATAACTCATTTCTGGTGACATACTGCTTCATGCTAATGAGTGAAATAAATTCTTCATTTTAATACCAGTAGTGTGTTGGCTAAGCATTGGTTCTCTTTCTTCAAAATCTTAGGTGCTATTTCTATAATAAAAACCTGGCTGGTGGGGGTTAGATTGATGATTGAAAAGGAGCAAACTAAATTGAACTCGAAATAGTTGATCTCTTACTGAATTTAGAGAACAACAAAAAGTGTTTCTGCATAGAAATAACTATAAACTTTATTAGGGAAGGATAGCGCTTATATAACGCTTTGTAGTAGCCAAGTGCCACGTGCATCTGTTCTGAATAGTCCAGTAAAGAAGTGAGAACATGCTTATTGGCTGCAGAAAGCATGAGCAGATACAGGCAAACAAAAGGAATTTCAGTTAATATAATGGGATATAAATCTTGTCATAGTATAGTCAGTAGGGATTAACAAGAGTACAGGGCAGTCTTCCGGGTGGTATAATAAAGCCATGCTGAGTTGCAGAGCTTGAGTTAAGGACAAAATGTGACCTCAGGGTTAATAAGCCTGAAGAGGTAATATCTGATTTAACCAGGTAGGCCCATTTCTCTTGGGTGCCAGTGCACCAAACTCCTACTTCAAGAAAATGGTACAAGAGCATGAATACTGGCTTATACAGAGCTATCTTGGGTCTTAAAGACTTCAGCTTTCATTCCGTTCCCATGGAGGTGCTGGAAGCAGTAGTCTGCTTTGCACTGTGTGGGCCCAGTGTTGCTGTACTTGATGAACCGGCCTGGGTATTTGTGTGTCTTACCTATCGCTTTTTGTATAGTTAACTCTAACTCAGATAAACTATTTGCAGATAACGAAGGGGATTGAATTTCCCAGACTTAGTGTTTGGAGGAAATCTTGGTAAAGAAAACCTGAAGTTGTTACCTGGAAAACTAAGATGAGTGATGTTAAAGACATTGACTACAGCAGAGTCTGTCTGTCTTACAATGTCACTGCATTCCTCTTCTTCAGTGAAGTCCCTAGCTGTGGTGCCAATCTGAACTAAGGGCTGCTGGCTATCAGAAGTCACACCGGCAAGCACAGAATTATGTGTAGCTAACTAGAAAAAGCACTGCATATTTTTTTAAGCTTTCATTTGGCCACAAAACTGTGAAGTTGACTTCTGCCACTTATCTGAGGGTGAAGCTGCATGATAAATGCTTCATGACTGTAAAAATGCATCAACCTGGGCACTGATGGCTTTGTACTATATGCTGTGATTGCAAAGCTAGATTGAGAGTCCACTTAAAAGTTTTTTGTGAAGTTCGTCTTGAATATTCATCTGATATATGACATCTAACATTCTACCTACCAAACTGCATTCCAGATCAATAAGAAGCCACAGCATAGAAGTGTGCAACTCATCCATGAGACAGATGGTTGCCATATAAGCTGACCTTGAAGATCTGCAGTTACCTAGCTTCATTCATGTTTTAATAAGGTGCAAGAAAGCAGAATATAAAATGAACCTCTGAAAAGACCATGAGTATATGTTTTTCTGGTGTTAACAACATAGCTAAAAAGGTTATAGCTCTTAACCTAGCTCCTGGTGCTCCTTTCTTTTTTTTTCCCCCCACTGTCTTCCCTGTTGAAGGTCACTGCCCCCTTGGATCTGCTGTCTAAGCTGCTGTCTTCTAAACCCAGTGCAGTCAAAGTCACAAAGTTTCAAAATACTAAAGCTAATTTTGCACCTCTTCAGTGAAATAGTTCAAAGAGTGAGGGCAAAAATGTCTCAGCTAGCAGTTCTGAAAAGAAAGAAATTGCTGGCACAATGTAGTGGTGACTAGCTGAGGCAGAGCAGAAGAGATAATGTTTTCAGGGATTGCTACTAGCATTGAAAATAGATGTGAATCCACAGTGTTAAATTATGCCTGTGATTGTTTTGTACCTCCAGACCAGTTTAAAATAGCTGAAGCACATTCTCAAATCTTCATCTCCTTTTTAACTTGCTGGTTTAAAAGTAGTATGGTGGTGGAATTTGTATGTTTTGTTTGTTTTTGTTAGTTTCTTTTCCCCCAACTGTTGTAACAATAGAAATGCAGAAATTAATTTCAAAGTTACAGCTGTAGCTCCTAGGTATGTATTCTACCTGGTGATGGGGATAACTTGCAAATTTTTTTCAATTCCTGCTTTAAAAGCCTATTTGGCTTCTTTCATGTCATCCTGACAGGAAAGTTTTTTGATAGTAGGCTTTATATTAAAAGTTTATATTGATACTTAATTTCTTTGTGTCAATATATTTGGTCAGCTGAGATCCTTCCTAATGATGACTCCCATGGTGACTCCCATGGCCGCGGATTATTTCAACATAACCCCCCCTCTCAAAACCAAACAAAAAAACCCCAAACCAACAAAAAAACACCCAACCAAACCCCAACTTCAAAACAAATAAACCCCATATTAAGTGGGCATGAATGATAATCACTGTCCTTTTTATGTAATCCATTTTTAAGTAAAAGTAAAATACTCAGATCTTATTCTTGGATTCCAGTAATTGCTCTTTGACTCTGCCAGTACTTGTGGTTATGTAGTTAGAGTACGTGTTACAGCCAAGCTTCAAGTAGAGCTTTTGCTCAAAAATTCAGTAACTATTTGCCTGATGTAAATTTATGTAGTGCCAGCATTTTTAAGGTCAGTAAGTCAAAAGTGATCCCAATGGGATCAAAAGTAAAGATCTTTAAAGGTGGTTTCACACATCAAATGAACTTATATTTAGTATGCATATAGTATAAATAGATAGCATAATGGAATATGGTGATAGTACAATGATAGTGTATTTTAAGTAAACACAAGATTAGTAGAAGACGACTTACAAAATTTTGTCACTATTTCTTGTGTAAATTGAAGGGTACAGGGAATCTTTATGAATGTCGAAACTACAGTGTGTGTAGACACATGTAAGGTGTAGAGTGTATGTATGCATATACATACTAGAGGCAGAGTGCAAGTTGGAAACAGACACAAAAGAGCTTTCTACCATGGCTAAGTTTGAATTTTTTACTTAAACCAGAAAAGTTATTTCTTCCTGAACTTTCAATAAGCTTTGAAATTGTTTGTCACAGATATTTTATTTATTTGTCATTTACATCTTTAATATATAGTACAGTGTTTTCTCTGTTGAAACGTCATTCTTTTCTTATAGCAGGAGCACATGTGTTTTGTAACAGGAAACTCTGGCACTGTTTCTTTTCCACAGCACTGACTATTAAAAATGACTGGCCTGTTGAGTGAATCCTTCTGAGGAAGAGACATTTTACAGTACACTTTTAAGACCTAAGCCCAAAAGATTGATGTTGGACCATTCTCATTGTATGAAAAGATATGTTATTGCCTTTGGGACTGTTGGCTATCAAGGTATTAGTCTAGTTCTGATGTTCTCTTTGAAACTGACATGTGATCTGAAAATTATTTTATAGTGTCTACAAAAATGTTGATTATGGCTTTTAGACCTTTATAATCTAATTACATTTTGGCTGCCTTCATGACAACCAGCAAATAAATATTTCTACCTGTTAAATACAAATCTATATGGAAAGGAGCATGCTCTTCATTTACAGTAGCTGCCTGTTTTCCCCTCCATGATGTAGCAGAAAATCATGGGTATCTGTAACTGAGCAAGAACTGTCTGCCAGTTTGTAAGTAGATGTTGGGAGAAAATCAGTGGGTGTGGTTGTTTTAAATACAGAAATTAAAACTTATGCACAGACCTGATTTTAAGACCCTTTATAATATGGGTGATCTAATACCAAAGAAAGTCTTCATTGTGTAGCTGTGGGGAAAAGGACATTGATCATGAATTTTTCCTTGTGTGTCAGAGGACATGGCTTTTGTCTTCATACTTCCATACCTCAAAAGGGTAGATGTCTTTGGTTTCCTGAGCCTGAATTATTGCTTATGTTCCCTGTATATGAGATAAAGACCTCATGTAGGATTTGTATCAGGTAGGACACATCGGAGAAGAATATATGTTAGGACTTCAGAGAAGGAAGCCTTGGGTTAAGTTTTTGCCCTGGGAAAGGGATGTCAGCTTTTGTTAGAGATTCACTGCCCTGAACACTCTTGGAAATGGCGTAGCTATTGATTTAAAACTAGAGGTGAAGAGTGTACAGTAGAGTGGTAGCTAGAGCTGCTGCTTTAGCAGCGTATTGCTCAGATTCAGTTTCTTCCATTGCCACAGAGGGGGAAGGGCCAATATTTTTTTCCTCTAAAGGCCTTCCGAAAGCCTTTGAGCCTTGGTGATTATTGGCATTTATCAAGTGATTGACTACTTAAATTTTTTTTTTATTATTTTTCCCAGAGTTGGGAAGACTGCTGGAGGAAGGGAATCCTGGGTTTCCATTCTTGATCTGAAGAATATATACTGTTTTAAAGAGTAGTGTGTGGAGCACGGATGAGAACTGAGGCCTTCTCCATTTCCAAGAAAGTTTTGGGAATTACAGTAGACATGGTCTTCCAGATTTTGAAAGTTTCAGCTAAATCTTACGTGGTGTAAACATTTTCACCAGAAGGAAACTAAATTGTTTTCTCAAACTAATGTGTTATGCAATTAAATTGCATTTAAAAATGGGATCTTTGGAATTTAAATCTCAAAGGCTGGAGGGGTACTGAGTTTTTGAGCTTACATGTATTGATTAAAACCGTGACTGAATTACTAGCTTACATGGGCACTTCATCTGTTCCTCTGCTGGCTGTGTTTTCTTTTAAGACTGAATCTTGCTCTACAAAGATGTTTGGGGCTTAATGCCTTAAGTCCCTCAAGAAATGTTGAGAGGTTTTGATTGTTGAAAGGAAGCATAATGAAGTCTTTGTTAATTAACAACTTGGATGGTGGAAGAGTATTCACTCTTAGCACATTTGATACCATATTGGGGGAGTGGCCAATAAGCCAAAGAGTAGGCCTTAACAGTAGAGAGAAAGATCTTGACAAGTTGGACAAAGGTCTGATGGTAACCCCAGGAAGTTTAATCAAGTCATGTGCCTGGAATAAAGTAACCTTGTCCTTCAATACAGGCTGGGTGATCACTATCTAGGAATGAGCTCTGCAGAAAAAGAACCATGGGGTCCTGGTGGACAACCAGGACAAGTGTATTGAACATTAGGGAACAGTGTGTCTGTAGTGATGAAAATTTGGGCCATATTAGAAAAGGTTTATCCAGTGTGTTGGGAGAAGTTATTTCCCTCTGTTTGGAACTGATGAGGCTGCATCTGCAATATAGTGTGGAGTGTTGGCCCCCCAGTACAAGAAAGGCATAGACAGTGGAGCAAGTTGAGCAGAGGACCACCCTGGTACTTAGGGGCTAGAGTATGTGATCTGTGAGGAGACGTGAGTGCTGAGTTTCTTCAGTCTGGAGGATAGATCCAGTTGCTGTGTTACAACTATGTAATGGGAGGGTATAGAGCAGGTAGAGTTATGCTCTTCCCAGAGGTGTGTAATGAAAGACTAAGAAGCAAAGGACACAAGTGGCACTGATGGGAGTTCTGTTTTCATTATGAATGTTGTCACACGAGAACTGTTTGCACAGAGGCTGTGGAATCTCCATCATTGGAGACTGTCAAAACTTGACAAGCATCTGAACAGCCTGAGCCATCTTTGGCGTTGGATATTGTATTGATTGAACTTTGAGTAGGGGTTTGGACTAGATAACTTATAGAGGTCTCTTCCAACGTGAATAGTTCTATGATTCTGTAATTTGTGATTTCTGACCTGACTTAAATGTTATCTAGGTACTTGTGTCAAGATTGACTTGTATCTAGCCTAGTATGCTTAAAATAAGAGATGGTAAGACCAGGTTAGACTTATGATAGTCTTTGCTTTCTGTAGGATTTTTGCAGGCCAGTTTGGCTGAGTCCTGTTTTTAGGTGCTCAAGTCTTTACTGATCTAGCCTGAGATATTAAGAGGGACAAAACTAGATGTGAGTACCAAGGTACTGTTTTTCCACTGGAACTGTTTTCTTTTTGTAACCTTTCTTTTTGGAGAAAACAAATGGTGTTTTGTTTATTGTGTTGTGGTTGGTTTGTTGTTGTTTTGTTTTGGTTGTTTTTTTAAAGCTGCTTTGCTAAAAAAGTAAAGTGTGGTATGATACCACAAATTTCATTAAAATATCTCTGATTTACTTAACTAATTTGTACATAGGTAAATACACAGCTGAGTTTACTGCTAGAGATAGTTGTGTATGTTGGCACTGTAGATGTGGCATTTGTGCATAATGCCTAATAGGAATATACTGTACTCACCTGTATGCTATGTCATTTGTTTGTTATTTTCTGTAACTTCCTAGTGTTTTTAAAATGCTAGAAGTTGTTACTGTTAAAAATGAAGTTTTTAACAGAACAGGTGTTTGTCCATTTTAAGTCTTCTTTGTGCCTGCTATCACTGATAATTTTGATTGAAAACCTCAGTTTAATGAGTCAGTGAAATCCCTGTTTCTTCCATGGTCACTGAAATGGCTTGACTTTTTCAGCTAGTCTTCAAACCAGTTCCTGCCTTGTGTAGTCTGCATAATACACCCAGTGGTAGAAGGCTTTCTTCTATGTGTTCGGTGTCTTTTATAGAACCAGCTGTAAGTTGATTCCTAGACTTACTGTTTTTTTACTGATTGCAAGTCAATCTCTGCATCCTTTGTTAAAGATTTGTAATATGTAATAGAATATTTAGAATATCAAGAATATGATTTTGAATAGTATGACCTTTCTTTTCAGTTTCTTACTTCTGTGCTGTAAAAAGTGAAGCTACTTAAGACATGCGTAAAGCTAAAATGTGAAATGTGCCTCTGGTGTTTTTTTAAAACAGTATTTTATATATATGTAAAACACAACACTTAATACTGAGCTCACAGGCTTTTGCAGTTAGATAGGTTTTGATCTTTTTCCTTAGTCATATGACTTCTTTCACACTTCTGATTTTAAGAACAGAAGGACATACTTAGTTAAAAGAATCTCATACAAGGTCTGAAGTGTTGGATGACTTTTGCCATTTTGGCAGCATTTCAGTCCTGTATTATGTTTTTACTGGGAAGAATGTTTTTGTGTGCTTTTAAAATAGCTTTATATGATGTGTAATTTGTGAATAAGTGGTCATCAGCTATTGGAATCCTTTCACGGATCTCCTTTACTGATGTTAGTTGAACTATTAAATTATGTGCAACTTGTTCAGCTCTTAACTGAGAACACCAGTTGCTGAGAACACTTGTTTGTGGTGGTGTGTAGCACTGCCTTGCTTTGCTTTTATGACACCATTTGACACTGATTCTTTTTTGTTTGCTTTTTCAAAGCAAGATCAGATTTTTCAAGAGAAAGGGTTGTGAAAAGCATTTTGGCTGGGTATCTCACTAGGTAACGAATACCTCATTTCTGTTGCTGTGTGTTGCTTCCATTATTTGCAAGACAGCGAATCATTCTTTTTGGATAAAGAAGGAAAAATAACGATGCAAATAATTCTGAGCAGAATGTAACTTAATACTTTAGCTTTTAAATTACATACAGTGTGAAGCTTACCATGCATAACATAAAATAACTACACAATCTTATCTTTGTTGCTATTCCAGGTAATATAATTAGAGGCCAGTGGACGATGAATACAGAGATAAAGAATGAAGATAATTTGTGGTTTCTTGTGTGTGGAATTCTTTCGATAATGTCATAAAATTGAACTGATTGGGAAAGTGGGGGAAGTTTAGGACGGATAGTGTGTGTTTGAAAGGGCTTAATGACTTTTCAAGTTGCTAAAAGTACGGAAAGTATTTTGAGAATGTTAGATGCGGGTTTGAAGTCATTCTGTAACTTGCTTTTTTATATTAGATGTGCCATTATCTGTGAAAATGGTACTTCTGGTTCTGCTTCATAAAACCCAGTTTGAGGACTATTCTTATGTTTATATGGAGTAAAATCAAATTGGCAACAAACTTTGAGCACGTTCTCTTAATTTGGTTTTGCTAGAGATTCTGCAGCTGAGGATATGTACCTTGTACATGGAATGCCCAATTTGGAGAGCAAAAAAGGCTCAGGACGCTTTCTTTGGTGTCACACAATTCCTTTTTTTAATAGCTACTTAAGATAATTTACTAAGCACAAGACTCGTGTTGTAACATCAGACTTGATAGCAAAAGATTGGTACATAGAGACAACTAACTGTTACACAAGCATAATGTTCAAAAGAGGCAAAACTGGTGAGCAAACTGTTGGGGTCTATGTAATAGTGGGAAATCTCGGCACTTCATGGAGGTCACTGTAGCAGAGAGGGTGTGTGGAGTTTGGATTATCTGGAGGAAGGTCCTCAAGTTATAGTCTAAGAAGGGAGGTGGGGTGCAGAATCTATCTGTAATCTTTTCCTCATTGCATTGTACTATTTTTTTTTTTCCTCTTCTGTCAGAGAAAGCTGTGTATACTGAAAATGTGTTGAGATGAGGGGAATGGCAGAAGTAAGGATTTCTTAACATCTTTTTCTGACCTGGTAACAAACTCTTAAACTAGAGCTAGATTAGCATGACTCTGTAGGCTTGGTGAGTGCTAGTGTGTGAGAGACCTAGTGACTGACTGCTCAGGATCAGTCATGGCAGAATTCTCTCAAATTCTTTTTGGATGAAGGTTGCTGTAACTTTCACATCCAGTCACTAAGGGTTTCATGGGGCAGTCATTATTGGCATGATCAGAGGTTGTGCTGTCTGAGTTTCTGAAGTTCTCAGAAAAGTACTACGGGATCAGTGGATTAAAGAATGTATTCTCTGCTGACTTCATAAAGTGCAAGGTGGTTTTTCAGGTCTACATAGGACAACTAAGTCTAGCACAGGAGAGGAAGTCAGAAGTCCTCTAAAGCCTTAACATAGATTATTCACATATTACCTGCAAGCTTGCTCTCTGGAGATGGTTCTTCTCGTATATTTTGAAGTAGGTCTCCAAATATTGAAGAACTTTTAACTTTCTGTGGATTATTTTCTTCCCTTAGCTCATATCTCTTGTAATTGGATACATTTTAAAATCAAGATCAACGCATTTTTGAACTTAAAATCATATGTAAGCACATTAACATCTTTTAGGCATGGTGGAAATGGAAACGTTGTTTTACAAAGGACTAAGTATAATTTCAGAGAATTCCGTGTGAAGTTTTCTTGGATGGAAGTGGGATTTGCCGCCTTGTTTCCTTTGGCAGATGGTCTACATTCCCCTATTGTCACTTCTGCCATGCTTTACAAGAATACAGAATTAGCATAGTACATGCAGAGCTAGCGAGACCAGTTAGTTCTTATTTATGAAGTATTAGATTTTCTTCATGCTGCAATGGAACTGGAAAATGAATAGGGGTGATATGGTTGTTATTTTTCAAGCATGGATTAGTTTCTTGAGAGGACAGAATTGGCAGAGCTGCAAAGGTATGTGAACTACTCTGACTTCATATGGAGAGCCTTTAATTTTGGTGAAGTAGCTCTTTGAGACACAACACCCCACTCAGGAAAAAACACTAAAAGTGCAGGCAGGGGTCTGTAAGTTCATACTTCATTTGTGTCATTTATTACTTTTTTCCTCCCCATTATAGTTGTTGACTTTTGCACACATGCATGCTTTATCACTTGTTTTATAAAGAAACAACACAGGAAAGAGAGAACAAAACTTGTATGGAGTGGTGGTTTTAAAAATAAGACTTTTCTTCTCTGTTTTCCAGATTCAATATTGCATAAACATGGGTGCATTTTTGGATAAACCAAAAACTGAAAAACATAATGCTCATGGTGCAGGGAATGGCTTGCGTTATGGCCTCAGCAGTATGCAGGGATGGAGAGTGGAAATGGAAGATGCTCACACAGCTGTTGTAGGTATTCCCCATGGCTTAGAGGACTGGTCCTTTTTTGCTGTCTATGATGGTCACGCAGGATCTCGTGTTGCAAATTATTGCTCCACGCACTTATTAGAACACATCACTAACAATGAAGACTTTAGGGCAACAGAAAAACCTGGATCTGCTCTTGAACCTTCAGTGGAAAATGTCAAGAGTGGAATCAGAACTGGCTTTTTGAAAATTGATGAGTATATGCGCAATTTCTCAGACCTCAGAAATGGGATGGACAGAAGTGGCTCGACAGCAGTGGGAGTTATGATTTCACCTGAGCATGTATACTTTATCAATTGTGGTGATTCACGTGCTGTTCTCTATAGGAATGGACAAGTCTGTTTTTCAACACAGGATCACAAACCTTGCAACCCAAGGGAGAAAGAGCGAATCCAGAATGCAGGAGGCAGTGTAATGATTCAGCGTGTTAATGGTTCATTGGCAGTTTCTCGAGCTCTGGGGGACTATGACTACAAATGTGTTGATGGTAAAGGCCCTACAGAGCAACTTGTTTCTCCAGAGCCTGAGGTTTGTGAAATTCTAAGGGCAGAAGAAGATGAGTTTATCATCTTGGCTTGTGATGGAATCTGGGATGTAATGAGCAATGAAGAGCTCTGTGAATTTGTTAAGTCTAGACTTGAAGTGTCAGATGACCTGGAAAAAGTGTGCAATTGGGTAGTGGACACTTGTTTACATAAGGTATGTAACTGTTTTCTCCAAGCACCTGTTACTAAAATGATCTTCTGTTTAGATGGGTACAGTGTTAACAGTAGTTCCTGGCCTAGTCTTTCCCTTCTCCCTCTTCCTTTCCTCAAATATTTGTACCCATTTGACTATATATCCTTGCTGAAGAGTATACAGCCTCATCCTTTGTGCCTGGAGAGGTGATAGCAATTGCAAAAATAAAGGTTTATTATTTTCTTAATGCTTGCATATGGTTCCAGCTCTAAACTTTGTCCAAATACAAAGTTTTAAAACTGAATAAATTCTGTGCAAGGTGTCATGGGTTTTTGGGGGGGGTTTCTGTTCTTTCCAGTTGGGTAGTGTTCATATCCTTTGCATAAAACCAGTGTTTGCACCTTCTCTTCTTCAAGGTATGGTTTGTCTGTCATCTGAAGTGGTGTCCTCAGCTCATTTTAGTAGCTTAGATGGAGAAGCACTACTTTTGCATCTGAGTTTACTTGTACTCCTCAAATTTAGAGTTTGTTCAGAGCAACTACAGGTTGATCTACAAATGTTTCATAGGTATACCATTTCCAGCATTCCCTGAGAAGTGCAACTCCTACTAGTGCAAATAGAGTTCTTTTCATTAGGCCACAGACCAAACATGAAATTTTGAGGAAAATATTAAAATTCAGAATTCTAACACTAAAGGGTAAGTAAACTTTTTCAGAAATGTGGTATATGCTGGAATACAACCCTATGTCATATGATTGATTTAAATGTTGTGGCTTTTCTGACCAAGCACTTGACCAGCCTTGTTAAAGGACAGTCACTGTAGTATACTTTCAGTAAAACTGAGCCCTGACCTTGTGTTTATTTTATAAAGTCAGATCCTGGATCTCTGCAGTTTGTAATGATACTAGAATGTTGTCCTCTGTCTTCAGGATGTGAATTGTACCATGTAATATCAACTGCAAACGATAGGATAGGTGTCCCTATATGCGTGGTATGAAAGGGAATATAGAATAACTCATGAGTACTTCTGAAGGAATTTATTCTAATGTCAGATTCCTACTTAATTTCTTCAGGAGAAGGAGTTGTTGTGATAGGTGATAGGAACTATCCATTAGGTTGGGTTTACACAGAAACAATATGTGGTAACTAATGGCACTTAATTTTTTTTGGTACAATTTTAAAATCTTTATTTCAAACCAGGAGTTTAAATTATGGTTCTGCTGGATCTCCTTGTAAGAGACTTAGACACTGTGCTTTTAAATTTGGCTCTGAGTTATAATTTTGAAAATTAAATATAAGCAGGAAAGTGGTATCAGAGCTTACTAGTGAAGAACTGGCATTACGTTCTTCAAGGTGCTATGTATGAAACAGGTGCATGCTGATAAACAGACTTGTAATGCATGTAATGTCTTGTGTGAATGCTCTCAAACTGAAATAAACTAGTAGCTGGAGCTAGCTATTCTAGTCTAGGATAAGTATTCTGCATTTTGTCTTGCAGCATGAGTTGTTTTTTAACTTGGCTTAAGGTAACAGTAAATGACTGTCTAATTTCTGACCTGTTTTCTTGATAAGATTTTTAAACAGTTGACATGTAAATAAGTCCATTAAATATTTTAAACTTTAAGGCAAAGAATGTACAATAAAAATCAGTAAAATTAATTTTAGTGAGTATTGTTGGAGAACTTAGAGGTTCTTACTAATCAAAATACAGTTTTATTGCAAGGTTTCTTTTTTCCCAGGTATATCTATAGTGCTGTATCTGGAACAAGTAAAAATGCGACTAGAATAGAAAAATTAAAAATAAGACTCAAGATCCTAACTCTTCTTTTTTTCTTTGTCATATAGGGGAGTCGTGATAACATGAGTATCGTACTTGTTTGTTTTTCAAATGCTCCTAAGGTCTCAGATGAGGCAGTGAAAAAAGATGCCGAGTTGGATAAGTACTTGGAATCACGAGTTGAAGGTAAGAAATCTATTTCGTTCACTAGAAATGACATCATAGCCTTTTTGAGCATGAAAACAAAACCCCTGAAAGCCATCATGCCACTATATGTTGGGTCAAATTCAGGCATGGTTGTAAGTCTGAACTTCTGTGTGTCAGGAAAAAATGTTTTTAAGCCATGTGGTTATTTTATCCTGGTATTCCACAAGCATTTTCTTTATGTGAGCTTTAGATTTGTACTTTATCTTTACAGGTCAAAATGCAACCTTGCGAAGTGTTATATCAGCTAAGTAAATTGTGATGTTGCTAATGTCTTGCTTATAAAATATTAAAAGGGATACTGGTGGTACTTGTTCCCTTTTTTGTGAAAGTTTTTGATAAAGAAAAAGCTGTACCAGGTTTTCGTGAAGGAACAACTTAATAATCTAATAATCCAAGCTTTTTTAACTGATTCTACTTAACACAGCTGTGACTTACTTTTCACACCGACAAGTTTTTTAAATGTACTTCGGTGAAAACAGATTATAAATGTTCAAAATACCTGTGAATGCAAGAGCCTTAAAACATCCCTTTGGATTCTGAATGGTTACCAAGTATGTGTGTATGTGTGAATAAAAACCGTATAATCATCTAGAACTTTCATGGAGGACTAAACTTGACTCCTAACCAGTTTCTTTTAGTCACTGATTTTATAACTCTTCACTTATCTAAAAGGTTGAATGCAACTTCTTCCCTTAAGGAGAAACAGCTAAAGGGAAGTTAGCTTGACTAAGAATGAAAAGCTTGCCCTTGTACATTTATTGCTTTACTGCAGCGTTCCTAATGTCAGAAAAACTGACATTTGAAACAGGCTTTCAAATTGTTGCTTCTAATTTAAAATATTTTATCACTGGTTAAGGCTGTTCCAAGGTCTGAAAACACCTATATGTAGTGGCCTCTTGGTTTCTTCGATCTTCTCAATTATTCTACTGATCCAGGTATAGCTCAGTTTTGGTAGTTCAGGGTTGATATTGAAAGTTTGCCTCTTTTGTAATACTGTTCTTATGTTGGCACAGGTTTCTGCAGCAGCAACCCAGGCATGAAAATAACTGAGTTCTTCTAACAGTTTGTCTTGCTGTTACAAATGTTGCTAGGATAATACTGTGAAGTAGCATCATTGGAGAGAAGCAGTCATCAGAGGTTTTGAAAGCCTTGTTGGGATTCCTTAAACTTCTGTAATCTCATCAGAAGAGTACTGAAGCACTGTCACCTACTTATGGTGATGCAGCTTATGAACCCATGTGTTGGAGCTCTTAAGTTATAGCAACAGCATTCAAGGAAGGAAAGGGTTTACTGAAGGGAAAGCTGGCTGGTGTAACTTGTATCTTTTCTTGACTTGTTTCAGGCCTGGCCTAGAATATTCTGATCACTAGATACAAGTTTAACTGTGCTTGATGAAGAGGTGGTCCCTTTGTAGATGGATAATGAGCCCATGTAGCCTTCTTAAATGTTTTGTTCCAGGTGCTGAGACCAGTGGTTTAGCTTTCTACTGTAGTATTGCTGTCCTGATGGTACTTTTCTGTGTTCATATTGAAAAATGTGATATTGGCAGTCTACGGGACTGTTCAGCAGAGTTCCATGAAAGTAATTTTAAATTTGGGTGCCAAGGTGTTTGGGACTTTGCAGGTCAGAATCAGCATGAAGCCATCATCTTGAGACTGTAACGAGGTCTCAGTGACATGCAGCCAGTGGCCAGAGCTGTGGTTTCTGAGCTTGAGCATTTTTTTATGAAAGAAGATGTGACTGACCAAACTTTCTCAACGTGGATCTGGAAACTTTACAGGCACCCAAGCATGGTGTGTGTAATCTGTATAGGTGAAATACTTAATATCCTTTCTTATGAATATTTGATGAGAATTATTAATACAGGACTCCAGCACTACCACATAGGAGATAGATGCCACTTCTGTTTCTTGTTGGCTTTGGTTTATTTGAATATCTGAGACACCCACTGGCTTTGTAACATGTTGTAATAGATACTGAAAGGACGTGCTTTCTAGTAAAAGTAGTTCATATCCAAGTAAGTAGCATTAGGTATAAATGAGAAGTAATCCTGCACTGTAGGTCTGAGGAAATCGGGAATCTTCTCAGACTGTGCAACAGCAAAAATCCCACAGCTAACCGTTCATAATTTTTCTTAACACTAGTTCAGTGTAAAATGCAACAGTGACATGGAAATGTAGATGCTGCCAGTGTAACATGGTTGCTGTGGATAACTGTTAGTTTTGCCACTTTAGTATCAAAAATTCTCAAACTTATTTTAATGCTACAGATGACACTAATGGTAGATACTTTATTTAATTTTTCATTTGTGTGAAACAGCTGTGAAAATCACTCATGTTCTTTGACTAGATAGCTTTTTTTATTGCACTCTTAGCCAAATGAGGTAAACTCAGAAAACTTTTTGTATTTTTCAATGACCCAGTAATCTAGATAGTTGATGTAACAAACCTTAATTTTTAAATACATATAAGACGACCTTCAGGCCATGATACAAGTTATCTCTGAATGCACTGCTGTTGTGTGTTGTGTCTCTCCCTTTTGTTTAAATGGGGATCTAAATTGGAATAGCTTGCATACTTGTAGTTTCTGTTGAGAATAAAGAGAGCTAATGGTCACTTCAAATGCTAACTCTAGGCATGTTTCTCAGAACTTGGCTTGCATCCTAGGCTTCCTAGATGACACTAGTTAAGATAAAGTACATGAGCTGTTAATAGGTGCTGGGAGAGAGCCAGGAGTACTTAGCTTCACTGACAGCAACCAGGTGTGCACACAGTGGTTTACTGGTTAGTATTCCCAGCTTCTTGGTGGCTTCTTTCTCAGTTACCAAACAGGTGAAAAATGTATGGAACTGCAGTGTATTTTATTGCTTTAATAAGTGAATGTTAAGAAGATTAATAGAAAAGCTGACAAAACTTCTGATCAGAGTGACTGGATTAACTGCGTATGATGTGGGAGGCACTATTTGCTAGTAACAATGCAGTGTTGTAGCATGATTGAGTTACTACTTTAACCTATCAAAATAACTTCTTAGCAGAAATTTATTTTAGCTATGTTGTCATATTTAACAAATACTACACACAGAAAGGTGGAGAGCTTGTAGTCTGAACTGATGCAGAGCCATTCTGAATGTAACTCAAAATGGTTGTTAAGTGCTCCAGAGAAATGGATTGCTTCAAAGCTTGGACTTCTGTTGCTTCAGCTCTCCTTGATTGCTGCCCGCCTGCCCTCCCTCCCCCCAGCCCGAGTTCCCTGTGTCATCCTGTGTTCTGCTAACTGGACAGAGTGCAAGGCCTTTAAATGCCAAGTATTTAGCAAGGAATGAGAATCAGCATATTTGAGGAAATTCTGTCAAGAAGTGGAGAAAATAAAGGAAACAGACTTCAGAAATACTGAAATATTTACCTGTTTTCTAACATGTTTGCAGTCATAATAAATTCTATGATATTGTCATTTTGACACAGTCTCCTTAATTTAAAAAGAAGTAGGACTGCGATTTTTACCTTACATTTGTGCCTTGAGTATTAATTCAGAAATGATACAGAGAAGCTTTAACAAAATGCTTCAAACCGCTAAGCAGCATGGGGAGAATTGTATGGAAAGATGTTGGATTCCTTTAAAAAAAGTAGTCAGATTTAAAGGTTTCAGTAGTGAGCAGAAATACTTTTAACTTAAAAAAAAAAAAGGGAGGCAGGGAGAATATGATATCAAGTGTTGGAGTAGTAAGGAAAACTTCTGGAAGGTGGGAATGTCTTTTTTGATCAGGAAAGGACAACTGCCATAGTTTTGCGTTTGCCTTTAGACTAAGCATAGTCTGGAAAACAGTGCATAAGAGAGCTGTGCCTGAAAGGTTTAAACTGCCTTTAATTCTAAAACCTTAAAGCCTGGTAGATAAGTTGTGAGGTTGATAATATGGATTCGTTCATCTTTTCTAGTTATTTTCAAAAGACAGAAGTTGTATTTCTTTAGATGTATTCTAAATGTAGTTTACATTTTAGGATGGTCGTCTTCAGGGAAGTATATTCATTATAATTTATTTGTAGTTTTGATGTGTTTTGAAGCTCTGAATGTGGTAAGCTGAGCAGCTAAGTCCAAGAATCTATGTTCAGTTACAGCAAGTGACTGTATATAGTGAGAATCTGTAGTAGGTTTACTAATGTTTAAAATACCAGACTACATTATGACTGTTCCTTTCAAAAGGCAAATAATGGATTTTGCACACAATAATTTAACATGAACAACGTTTCTTTATCTGTTAAAGAATTGACAGCTCACAAGTTATGTGCAGTTGGTTGAGAGCCAATAACCATTTTATTTATACCTGTAGTAAAAACATTCTGAAAAAAATCAGCTTGCCTTAGAACTACTAAGCTGCAAAGATAGAGATGTCAAACATACAAGCTATGAGCTTTCTTAGATACTCTCATCTTTCAGTAAGTGACTAATTTAAATTAGGGCAACATTGGCATTTAGTATAAAATCCTTTGGGACTTCCTGAAGCAATTCTAGTTTGATCAGTGGTATTTGTTCTTAATGAATATACACTGTTCAACATGGAATATTTTTTCTGTTCTCTTGCGGACCTTGAATTTCAAGCTGACTGGACTAACCCATCAAACTTTTTAGACAATAGGTTTTTTTCACTGCTACGCTTGGGCATTTTAAGCTCTGGCTTGGAGAGAGAGGCATTGTTTGAGGCATGCTTTTGTTGGTTTAAAAATCTGTATTCAAAAGCAGTTTAATACTTACACATACAATATTTATAGTCTGTCTTTCTACATTCCTAAGTAGAATGCTGAGATACCGTGTATTTGTACAGTGAGTTGAGCTAGTAGTTCCATAAGATCTTTCCAGAGTTATTAAAAGAGAATTATTGTTTCCATACCAAAACAGAGTTTTTCTTTTAACAGAGTTATTAAAAAAAAAAACAAACTCAGCAAGTGACAGTTTACTAGTGGAAGAACTGTATACCAAAGCTCTTTTTCTAGTTTTGGTCTTGAGACTGATAGAATGTGTATAACTGTACTCCAAAGCTGCCAATTCAAGAGTATTCTGAAATACTTCTGAGGTTGTAATCAGTAGCTTGTGATTGAGTCATGATGGTGAGCACAGCCGTGATTCTGTTTTGAGTCACTTAATTGGTTAATTTCCAAAGTAATGCAGGTGTGTTGGACAGTAGTTAAGTTATGCTAGTTCAGTCTTTCCTTACTGCCACTTTCAAATGCTACTTTGTTTTGTTCTCTGCTGTGGTTTAACCCAGCAGGCAGCTGAACACCACGCAGCCCTTTGCTCACTCCCCCTCAGAGGGATGGGGGAGAGAATCAGAAAAAAGGTAAAACTCGTGGGGTGAGATAAGAACAGTTTAATAGAACAGAAAAGGAAGGGACAATAATAATATAATATACAAAACAAGTGATGCATGATGCAGTTGCTCACCACCTGCTGACTGATGCCCAGTCAGTTCTTGAGCAGTGGGCTGCCACCTCCCAGCCAACTCCCCACCCCAGTTTTATTGTTCAGCATCATGTCATGTGGTATGGAATATTGCTTTGGCCAGTTTGGGTCAGTTGTCCTGGCTGTGTCCCCTTCCAACTTCTTGTGCCCCTCCAGCCTCCTTGCTGGTAGGGCAGTATGAAAAGATGAAAAGTCTTTGACTTAGTCAAAGTCAGTGCTTAGTGTAAGCACTTCTCAGCAACAACTAAAACATCAGTGTTATCAACATTATTCTCATCCTAAATCCAAAACACAGCACTGTACCAGCTACTAGGAAGAAAATTAACTCTATTCCAGCTGAAACCAGGACGTATGTTTTTTAGAGCTCTGAAGTTTGGTCACAGAAAGAAAATACTAGGCACAGAAGTCAGTTCAATTCTCTGCTATGTTTCAGTTTATTTGAAAGGGTGTATCAGACATGCAATTAAAACCCAAAACCAAACCAACAAAAAAACAACCAACCAGGAAAAAAAACCCCAAAACACACTAACCCCCCAAATCGTAAATAGGGGCACATGTTCTATGTAGTCTTAAACAGTCGTAATAGTAGATGAATACTCAGTTACTACAGTGAGTTGGATGGTGCATTTTACATATGTGGAATATATACTGTATATAAAACTGATTTGTCGTAATCTTATAGCTGGAAATCAAAGGAGATGCTGGAACACAGAAAACTTGTAATGCTGTCTGGTTGGGCACTTGCATTATATAAAATAGAAGTAAAATTTTGTCTGGATTTTCAAAATGCTTATCTCCGAGTTAAGTGTTAGGCTTTTAGAGAAAATTGTTGTAGGAGTAAAGTAGTAGACTTTGTAGTGGACATTCTTGGATTTGCATATATGATATCAGGAAATGATTCTTTAAGTGTTTGAATTACATTAGCAACGCAGCTATAAAATTTTCTGCGATTGTGTTTTGCATGTTCAGAGAAAAAATTAATTGCAGGGTTATTCTTAACATTGTAGAGATGAAGGTGAAAACCTTGTAAATGTCTATAAATCTGTTTCTGAAAGCATTTGATTTTTTTTCTCTAGTGGCCTTTGTCAAACAAATCCACAGTGTGTCTGCTAATTGATGTGTAATGAAAAAAGGTCACGCTTGGTCGTTTGCTTTATTCTAGGATTTTCTATTAGGAAGCTTTTTTCTTTTTTAAGAGGGGACATGTTCTGGGTGAAATTATTCACCCTAATATCAGGACAAGGGAAAGGACATGGCCAATTCCACCAGAGTTCCTGATTTGGCACCTTCTAGAAGTGGAGAGAAAGGTGCTCATGGTTCAGTTTAGCACTCCCTGAGAAGTGGTTATACAGTATGAAGTAAAAGGTGTCAGTACCAAGAAGTATAGAGCAATCCTTAGTTTTGATTGCTTTAATTCCCTTTTAAGAAGATACAAAAATGTTATGCTTGCATTAATATTTAGTAATTGCTTGCTTCTGTAGCCTTTCTTCTTACTAATTCTTGCTATTTGTCTACTTTTTGTATGTACAGAACCAGCTGTGCTCTTGATATAAAAAGCAATATATGCATAAGACACATTTCCTGTTAGATGTGACTCAGCAAAATTGTATTATAGTGGTACAATCTACTTCTAACTAGGTAGAACTGCACAAAAGGATGCATTGTATAAGAGAACTTGTGGCTGATTTATGTGAATGTGTATGGAAGAAGTGATCAAAATCCTAAGATTCAAGCATACATACTCAGTTGTCATTTCCTTTGCTAGCCATGATTCATTCTTAATGGATGGCTGTATGATAATATTACGTAAAGTTTCATGGAAGAATGTTTAATCGCTTCTAGTAGTAGTATACCTAGTTTATTTATTGCAGAGATTGTATGGTGCTGACTTGAAATTGGGGCTTAGAAGCATAGTGCCTTATTTGTTACAGGGTAGTAAAACTATTCTAAAAGTAGAATTGCTTTTGGAGTAAGCAAGTACCTTGCAAGCACTGTGGTTTTTAATAGTCCTGAGAGAAGCCTGCGTATCACTTGCTTTCTAGATAGGTGATAGACATCGAGAGAGGTTTAAATACCTGGAAACGTGGGATGCGGTATTTAAAGTAGGTAGATGATGTGCTTTAGTACTAACTTCAGAAACTCAAATTGTAGCTGCCTCTGGCTTTAGTTGCAGGGTCCAAATCATACATCCATAATATAATCAATTGATCGTAAGAAATTTAAGTGATTTGTTTATCTTTGGATAGTAGCCAAGATACAGACTGACTGAAGACTTTTTTTAGGATGGTATTTGAGAGGATTCATTCTTAATTCTTTTGTTCTGTGGCTCAAAGAAAGATTAATTTTTTATCTAGAACAATGTCTACAGGAATGGCACTCCATTTCTTAATTTAGTTGATTTTCAGAAAAAAAATTTCTTCTTAAAAATACATCACACACATACAACTACAATTTGTAGGTGACTTAGTGAACCTTTTTCTGCCATGGTAGTAGTTGAATGACTAGAGGATGATTACTGGAAGCTGGTAGTATTATGCCTATGTGAATGTATACGCAACTATTACACGGTCGCCTTACAGCAGCTTTGATGAACAAGAACATGAAGATTTACTTCAGTTTAGGCAGTTATTTTCCAAGGCAGAAGAACTTACTAGCACTGGACTTGTGTGTTAATTCTGCTTTGAAAATGGAATACCATATTATTAATCATTTGTCGTCAGTTCTTATTCTGCTTTGGCCACTTAAGCAATAATGGACTATTTTATATATGCCTCTTTATTGCGTGATGGTCTTAGTGTTTATGCACTGGAGATTCAGGCCTTTTAGAAAACAAGGTGTTACTCACGATGAAGTATGACTGAATTTCTGGGAAGCGTTAGCTTTATGGCATGTAACTTCTGAGTATGTGTTGCAATGCAATGGGAGGGTAACTGAAACAGGCTCCTAGCTGTCGTCTTTTTGAAAGAGAGCAGGCTGCTGTCTCCAGGATATTTCATCCAGTTCACAGTCTGCTTCTGAGTTTCTCTGAGAGGGAATGGCTAGAAGTATACTGGAAAGACAGGCTATGGATTTGAATAGCTCTGTTCCACCATGCAAAGACTGTTTACCTAAAATGTAAAGAATGTTTTCCTGTTTACTTACATGTAACTTTTTCATAATGTCTTTGTTAAAAAGAGATAGTATCTTGTATTTTAGTGTCTTAAGGAATAATGGGTGGTATTAATGCAGTAATCTAAGGACTTCTTCTGTTTTTGAATTAGAAATTATGGAAAAATCGGGTGAAGAAGGAATGCCTGATCTTGCTCATGTTATTCGTATTTTAACTGCGGAGAATATCCCTAATTTACCACCAGGAGGTGGTTTAGCTGGCAAGTGAGTACAGTACTGGAATTTCTTGAACTGTTTCATTCACTGAAACAAATACTTTTATTTAAATGTTTTAAAGCTTTCTTATTGTAATAGCTATACTCAAATTAAAGAAAAAAGTTGGTTTTTTATATTTTAAGCTAGTTTACCTTTTGGGCTACATAAACATTTGTCATTGTTCCCATTCCAGAATGGTAAGAGGAGGCAGATTGATCATATTCTGGTACATAACATACTAGCTTAGTATTTCCATATGGCCATTTTAAAAAATAAAAAATTCTTGGCTTTTTACTGCTTTACACTTGTTAAGAACTATCAATAATGTAACTGGAATATCGAAATACCAGCTCAATTTTGCTGATGTCATGTTCCCTCCACCACCTAGTGTCCATTATAAGTTCGGGTTAGTGCTTGTTTTCTCAGCAAACATTCTCATAAGGAAATTGTTTTTCTTTAGTCTTAAACTGAATGTTAGATAAGCAAGAATGTTGAACCAGGATATGCGTTTTACAACTTAATCGAAATAAACATTCAGAAATGACCGTGGGGTTCTGGGGAGGCTAATGGTGATGTTCTAACAACCTATAATTTAAGGATTTTAATGAACAGAATTTAGGATTGCATAAACAATTGTTAATTGAGAATTCCCCAAACAGTAGGACCCATTATTGGTCCCTGGCATAGGTCATGTTGTTTCTGGAATCTTTGGGTTTTTTCCAAATATAAAGTACTGTCCTCTGAGCATTTGTGTATAGATCAATTTTCATTGCATGTACTTAGTAATAAGCACTGTTTGACATGATTATTTTTTTCTGGCCTTGAAAGTACCTGTACATTCTGGGCCTTTTTCTCCACTTGTGTGTATTTCAGGCATTCAGAGAAGTGGCGGTGTGCCTATTCTTCTTAGTGCCTCCCAACTGCTGAATGAGTTGGTGTGTTTTGGTTTTTTGCTCATTAACAACCGCACCACATACTGCTTCATTATTCTGGAACCTCTGCATGTAAATTCTATTTTAAATTGTTGTGACCCATGTTACACTTTTGATGGGCTTAGGTTCAGAATTAGCCTTTTGATGCCTTTCTCTCCATTTTGACTTTTAAAGTCCCACCTCACAGAAAACTGACTTCAGGAGGTGTGCCTGCAGCTTCTTTTAAGAGAATATCATACAGTATTAAGTTACTTTTTTCTTGGCCTTCAAACGTAAGACAAAGACAGGCAATGATGTATTTAGTTAACTTTACTTGCAGGATTGAGCTCCTGAATGGAGTTTTTGAAACAGTACGACTACACAACCCAAAACCTACCATGTAACTTAAAACTTCTGTCCAAACAAGAGACTATTCTTTGTCTTGATCTCCTGTGATGTTACCAGGACATGAAGAATTCACAATTTGTCCTTCTGTTTGAACTCCAAGACCTGGCTCAAACAGGTTGCAGAAAGAGCTTGTGTGTGGCTGACACCCCTGTGTTTAGCACCAGTTATAGTTGCTCCTGGTTTTCAATATGTCTGAGCTTGAGAAACGTAATGCGATGTTGCCTTCACTAGAGTATGTTTGCAGACCTTAGGAACCTCTGAAGTAGCTCCACTTCTACTGGCATTGTATACTTCCCTTCAAGCATCTCACTTGTGTAGAAGCCCCTACTGGCTCATTCTTTGAGACAGGAGATTTAAAGGTGTCAACTCTGCTGTGGTCACTTGATGGTCGTGTTTTATCCTTTAAAATCTTATTCTTCAAAGACTCACTTCTGGCTTGACTCGGATTCCCCTGTAACTTCAAATGCTGCCAAAAGAATATTCATTTGTTGCTGAAGAAAACAAAAGACCTGAGACACCCTGTCACTTGAACGTTAGCACTTCCACTCAACATCTTGCTCATGAGTTTCCACATGAAAGGAAATTACGGATAAATACACTGTTCAAAGAAAGAAAAGTAAATTGAAAAGATAGAATTCCCAAGGGCCTGAGTTTTAAGTCTGATTTAAACTGTCCGCAGTGGCTGTCGGCTGCTTCTGTGGCAGCCTTGCTTGGACTGTCTAGGTGTTTTCTGTTACGTTGGTGTGAGGTGCCATTGCTCTCTGTAGTACAGGCATTTGGTCAGAATTCTGCCATTCCACCATCACTAAATGTGGAACTAAATGGAGAGAACCCTTTCTTGCATCATCTGCCAAAAGATTTGGTTTCTTTTCTCTAAGAAAATTTTCCATCAGTGCTGATGGATCCCATACTAGCTCAGCCATGCCACCCTTCTAGATTTCTTTTTAAAGCATTGACTTTAACTGGTGTGCCCTTGGAGAAGTTGTTCTTCAGTGGACTTTTCATATTGGACATAATTCTTGGAAGTGTTACTGTCAATAAAATTCTGAACTTCTTTCCTGGAGCTCATTCAGACAGCCCAAAACCTTTGCTTGTGAACAAGCGTAAATTGCATATATACCAGTGTCTTAAGGCTTCCAAGTTGTCAGGTGTATCTGTTGTGCCTGCCTTCTGCTTGTCTTGGTGTGGTATGTCTAGATAAATGCCGATTTCATCATCGACATATATTGCCTCTGAACACATGATAGCATGATGTCTTTTCAGTGTTGTAGGTTAGTGGTCATCCTGACATTTGATGCATTGTCCCTTGCATTCGCTGGTCCACAAACCATTTCCCAGAGTTCTGAATATTTTTAGTAGGTAATGTTTTAAACGCTGAATCATGACTGGAAAAATATATTTTGCTGGACACTAGATACTGAAATTACCTGATTTATTGCTTTGAGAAGTGGACACACTTGCAACATTCCATTCAAAAACCAAACTCTTCTATTTTGAATGTGCTTTTGCTTGCATGGTGTGAACATAAGAACCTAGTCATACTAGATCAGATGAAGGATTATTCTAGCTCTGTGTCCTGTCCAAAAAAGAAAGTAGATGCCTGGGGAAGAATATAAAACCAGGAAAATAAGTAAAATACTTATCCTATCATCATTATTTTGGTTTTCAGCTTCTTACAGCTGAGGTGCTTCCTGATCTTGAGGTAGTTTATGTACTCAGTGACTTAGAATTTCTCTTCTGTGAAGTTAAATGTGGTCAGAAGGAGCCTCACCAAACTTCTAGCATCCTTGGTATTCTGGGACAGAAGGTTCTGTTGCATCGAAAGCCATCACTGTCTATTTTTGAGACATTTGCTGCTGTCTTCATCTGATGCCCTTGTGCTCTTTGTTTGGAAGAATCAACAGTTGGTGCTTATCTGCATTCTGTAAGACATCATTTTTATAGATGTTGGCCACTTCCAGACTTGAGGGTTTTAGTTCCTGTAGTATTTTTTGTTGTTGTTGAAGCTGTCAGTAACTTTGATCATATTTATTATAGTTGTCTGAATGTTTCCCCGTTCTTACTATGATTTGAAGATGTAGAGACATAACTTTTTTCCTCTCAGAAGTCTGTTTATACTTTGGGGTTTATTTTTTGAGAAGCTTTTTGTCTGCCTGTGAAGGTGTGGCACTGCCAGAAAAGAGTCTAGCTGATCATATTTTGGTTTTAGTGTTGTCTAGTGTCTGTTCACACCATAGAAACATCTCAGAGGTGGTATACTCTGGGCACCACACTTCAAAAGTTCATAGGCAAGTAGTAACCTGTGTATATGTAATAAAAATGGGGAAAAACCCAACTGTCTTCAAGTTCCATATCCAGAAATAAGGCAAGAAAACCAGAAAACTTGAAGAATTTTGTTACAATAAGCAAAATATAGATTTAGATGTTACTCTTGGCAAAATCTGACTATGCAGCTGGAACTTCTAAAGATGTAAAGAGGCAGACCATGGGGCGCGTAAGGTAAGAAAATGTTTTGCCTTGCTTAGTCTTTACAAATCTTGACTTACTGCTAAATCCCCAAACATATTGGAAGTGAGTAAAGACACTGAGACTGGGCTTCATCTTTTTAAGAGGCAGGTTAAAGGCAAAACATCTTAAACACTTAGAAATTATTACTGTGCTCAAACTTTAAGTTCTCAACATTTTGAAATAATTTTTTGTGTTTAATTTTTTTAAAAATTCTCTTTTTTTTTAGGCGTAATATTATTGAAGCTGTGTATAGTAGGCTGAATCCACACAGAGAGAATGAGGGGGTAAGTTCCCATTTTGGTTGCTAAACCTCATTGTTAATGAGAACATCAAAGTAGTGTCGTACATAAAGCAAAAGTGTACATCACTGCCAATAAAGTATTATAAACACAAAATATATATTGCAGCATACAGTTCATTTTGACCTTGTTTTGGATGGATCTGATACAGAACTTTATCCTCAAAGACAGCAAACTGATACCCAATTCTGAAAGACTTTTAAAACATCTTACTGGTTACTGCTTTTTCAAACCTGTGAAGCAACAATGCAAGGGTTTTCTAAATTATAGTTTATTATTGTAAAAAATTATGGTCAGCATATTCTTTACTTAACTAGCCCTTCTGTCCAGAAATAGAGGGGGCGAATACACTTCCTATTGTCTTCTGTAAGTGAGGAAGACCTTGGTACACTGAATATAAAAGGTAACAAGACTAATATTGACTACTTTTTTAGAGTTTACACTATCCTTAAATATCCCATGTGCAGTGGTCTAACGAAAGTGTAAAGTGAATTTTTTTTTACTTCAGTTCTGATTTCTAAAATGGCTTACATTCTTCTGCCCAGTTCCTAGTAAGTTGAATTTTAAATAGTATGTTGAAATATGGTTTATTGTAACTTTAAACCTGATTATTAGGTGGTTGTTAATATTAGTATAAAGAGTAATAACTGGTGTTTGTATCAGTTGTGGTTAAGTGTTTTGGTTTTTTTAAATATTTTTGGAAAACTGAAGAACTGATAAAAACATCATTGCTTGTACACATGTTGTCATTTCCTGTACAGTTTATGTGAACTAATCTGTGAAGGTACCATTCATACTCTAATAAATCCTTTCTCATATTTTTCTCTTCTGAGATGGCTACAAGGTACTCAGGTAGTCATTACAATGAATGGTTTTGGTGAGATGTCAACTTTTATTTTAAATACTTTGTGTGCCTTGAGATTGCGAATATGCAGTCTCACCACAATAATAATTGTGTTTTTCCCACTGTCATCTTCTCTTGCCTATTTGTTTCATTTTTTTAAGTTAGAAAGCTTATGTAGGTGGAAGGGGCCACTATTCTGTTAAGAGTATAGATAGAGAAGACATCTCTAACTTTTTTATTTTTTAGTATTTGTTCCTTTTTTTAGTTTGAAAGTGATACAGTATACACTTTTCACTTAACTTTCAACAAATTGTGCAACAGTACCCCAAAACCAGCTAGGCAAAATCTTGCTCTTTTCAGCTTCTTTAGTCCTTCAGGAAACTCTGCACCTCTACCAGCCTGCTACTACTTTTTTATTTAGCCATAATTTTGTTCCTGCTTTTGATGTAAAGTTATTGGTGAAAGTGATTTATTTGAAGATTACATCTTAGTTTTTTTAAGTTGGTTGCTTTTTTTAAGAAAAAAAGGTTGTCTAATATTCTAGAAATATCATATGCCATAGTTGCATTTATGATGCATCTTTTCTAAGTCCAAATTTACTTTTCAGTAGCCATGCAAGCTTGCTGGAAGTCCTGACATATAGTACAGCATCCTTCTGTGTATTGGCTACTTCCAGGAAATTTTTGTACATCATCCATTATAAAATGAGGTAACTGAACTAGATATGCAAGTTAATTATAAAAGAATATAGCTTTAACCCTTACTACAATTAATAGCTTTGACATTTATTGCCATTAGAATCACTGGATAGTTGTTTTGAGTCCTCTTAATTTGGCTTTTCCAGTAAGAAATGTGAGCAGTATGCTCCCGTCTACCTTGTAAACTTGGCCTTCTGTTGGTATTCAGTGCAAATCTCGATAATGATTTGGATGATGTGTTTTAAATACACTGGATTAAATTTTAGTTTGATCTTGTGGCAAGATGTCATTTGCTGGTCAATACCTTTTCTTCTTTCCATCCTAAGTGATTCTGACCCAGAGCAGTTTGAGAGGAGAATGCACCACTGGGTGAAGGATGCAATTCCTGTTTGCACTTTACCAGCATGTAGGAGTTGTTATCTTACTGTCTTTTGAGGTGGATAAATTTAGTGGGCCTCATATCTGAGGTGATGAAAACATGACTTCCTTGCTAGTCTTACTTAGTTCCAGGTATATATGTGGTGATCTCCCAGTCTTTTGAACTGAATACTCTACTGCACAGGGTAGGTAAAAGGGAAGGAAGCTGTTCAGTTACTCAACATCAGACTCCCCACGATGTCTACGCACTGTGATAATGTTGCTACACACCTCATGTTTAAACAGGAAGCAAAGGTAGGAAGGAAACATACAGTACATCCCAGTGATGACATTTCCAAGTGAGACCGAAATCTAATAATGCCCCTGTTTAAACTAGCATGAAGCAAGAGCGGATCTTCGTATGGAAAATTATGAGCTGCAGACACCTATGCTGAGTCTGCAGAGTACGAAGGTACACTGACTTGCACTTGGGAATCTTTCTCCAGGTGTAGTTAACAGTGTACATCTGTCTGTTAGAGTGTGGGTATAATGGAGAATACTGCTGTTACTAGCTGGAAAGTCTGCCTGTGGCAGTCATCTTCATCTGCTGATTTTACATAAGGCTAGAACAATTTTTTTTTTACCTTGACAAAATAGTAGTGTAATTAATTGCTAAAATATTAATGCACATGAGTAAAAATTTTGAAAGATGCCAAACCCCACAAAAACAACCCAAACCAACCAGATTAACTTCTGCAATTGAGAACGAGAATGTCTTCCTTCTAAACAGTCTACGTTTTAGCATTGAACAATTTAAACTAGTTACCCTGAGTTACTGTGAACTGCATCCTAATAGCTTGGCAAATAAGTTCTTAGAAAGTGTATAAATTAAAACCAAGGCAGTAGCTTAGAGGTTTTTTTGTCATCCAAGCTAGTGATTGTAGAGTAACTTCTCCCAGTTCTTCACATGTGCTTTTTCTGAGAATCCTTAGCATATAGCCTAAATAAGGAGATGTTGTATAGAGTGAGAGACTGAGGAGTGAAAGAGTCCTTACTACAGCAGTATTCAGAGATCACTAGTGTGGCTTCAGGTTATAGGAGTCATAAGTTTGTTTGTTTGTTTTTTCTTTTCGGGCATCTCAGCAGAGTACAGGTATTTTGTAAATCCAGGGCTGGAGAGAGCCCTGCATTGGGCTCACAAGGAACAGCTTTGCCAGTGTTTGAGCAGAGGGGCTTCTGCTATAAATGTTGTGCTTTATAAGTGTGAGTGAAGTAATAGAAATCTGTTACGTATGGGGGCTTGGTGCTTTCAGAAGTTTAAAGGGAATTTAAAAGAACTTCTTCATAGCTAAATAGTTGTTATCGCTGTAATGGTAAAATACCACCAAGTTGTTCTAGTTAACATGTTAAAGTATTACTCTTTCTCTAATGGCTCAACTTCTTTGACCCTTTTTTTAATGTGTATTCCAAAGACTAGGAGGCCACTATCCAATTAGGCTACTTGGGTGTATACGTATCCTTAAACACAAGGAACAATGTTGAAATTACAGTGTGTTAATAGTTTCAGTGGCAGTTCTTCAAAGCTATGTTTGAATATCTTGTCTGAAACCAATCATGTTCCTCTCTTGCTTTTACTAATATTATACTGTAGCACTTTGCTAAATCAAATCATATGTCATTAAGGCCTGCTACAGATAATTTAAATTTAAATGGACAAAATTCTTATGCCCTTAAACATTGTAAACCCTGTCCCTAATACATAGTAGCCCCTTTTGTATACATAATTTAACAGACTAGAACTTGTGTCAAAATTGAATGCTCATGTTAAATATAGCTAGCACAAATTTATTCTTGTTTTTATGGTGAGTAGCCCTAAGTTTAATTAGAATATGAAGGAAAACAAACGCTAACTTGCATAATAATCATAGTTTTCAGGGTCCTGTTCTAGCCACTCATCATTAGAGAGAAATCTGTGTTATAGTGTGTATATATAGTGTATAGTATAATAAAAGGGGCAGTTTCTGTCCTGCTGTTTGCCTGTGGGGTTTCTTGTCTGCTAGCACTGAGGGAGACAAGGGAAGCACTAAATAGCCTGTCATCAAACAGGGTGTGAAGCAAAGCAGGATGTGAGTTTGAATATCAAACACTAACAGCACTGTTAAATCTACTCCTACTAGCATTGGAATTGTTTAGGAGTCTCAGGGCTGCTATCATATTGCTTATTGTTTTTACTCTTCAGTGTTGCATGGGAGCAAAAGTATTCACTTCATTCTGCCAAAAGGATTTTTAAAGATCTGAATATTGTGAAATGTGGAGATTCAGGGTGTATGTTTGCTAATGTCAACCTTGGAGCAAAACTGATAGGGTGAAGGAACTATTGAATTTAGATGTTCTCTGAACTTTAAAAAAACTGGAATTCTTCAGCTATGTTGCCTTGTTTAATATTAGCTAGATAAATACAGAAGTAGTATTTTTTTTGTCAAAGCCTAAGAAATAGGATACGTCTGTAGCCTCATCTTGATGCCCTGAGTTTTCACTGACTTTGTGCTCATGAGGCATGAGAACAGTCCCATTTCATACATTGAAACTATCTCCTTTAACTTGCTACTCCTCACGGGGCTCTTGAAGAACTATCTGAATATGAAAATGCTAGTACATGGGAGTCAAAACATCTCAAATGAAGACCAGCAAACCACACTAGAAGTACGTCTCTATGCAACAAATTAAGCTTAGAGGGATAGCTTTATATGCAGTAACATTAATTTTTGTGGTAAAATTGTCCCCTTTTTAACTTAGACTGTGCTAACCGGTGCTTCTATTCCAGTAACATTACAGCATCCAAAATCAAAACCCAAGATATTGTCTTAATACTGCTATTAGTCTTGTAAATGAGTGACTGCAACATTTTGTAGTTTATGAAGCTTTTGGACTAGATGACAATAAAATGAGGTCAGCATGAGAAAAGGCAGTCTGGATTTTGCCTCTAATGTATTGCAAAATCTGCCAACTTCCAGAGATACAGTTGCGTTTGTCTAGCTTGATAACTTGCTAGATATTAATAATTTAAATGTACTATTCCCTTAAAGCAACAGTACTGCTCTAACACTTAAAATACCTAGTAGCAGTGTCAGAGCACTGTAACAGATGTGCAAGTCTATCACAAAACCCCCCCCTACAAACCCCCCAATTTTTTCAACTGAAGGCTTGTAGCCAAATAGGTGGTTTGCAGAGGAGACCTTCATTCCTTAATCAGTGCTTGTTACTCAGATTTTGTGCTGTAGATTTAGATTTGACTTTAAATAACTGTTCTACCTGTTAATTTTTCTAGGCAATACACATCTGCCACAAATAGTGTCTTATGTTGTTGAAACACCACCACGCCTGGTGCTGATAAGTAGCTGCTTGTTTCTTTTATGGCAGCATCATGCTTGCAAAAATCAGGGACTGTTTTCTAAAACACTCTGAGCATTTACTTTGATGTGATGCTTCAACTAAACTGCTAGCAGTAGAGTCCTCTATTCTCTTTAAGTTTTTCACAGAACTGTGTTGCTATTGGCTGTGCAGAAATTCACAATTAAAAATGTTGACCTGATGGCTAAAGAAGCTTAAATTTTCAAATTTTTCACTGACGGCTGACCAAAGTTGTGGGGATTATCAGCTATATTCATCAAAAGACAGTTTGAATCAAGATGGGGTTAATTGAGAGGAGGTACCATGCTGACACTTGCTCAAAATAAATAGAAATGATTAAAAATGCTGGTTTAATAGGTATAATTTCTTAAATTATTACATTGTATAAAATAGGCAAACATGGATGATACTGTTAGAAGATGTATGTTGCTAATAAGGTGTTTTATATCCAAATAGAGCAAAGTTGATGTTTTCTCAATCAGAAAAAATGTTTTGGTTTTTTTTGGTTTGTGGTTTTTTGTTTTGTTTTTTTAATGTCGTTAGAAAATATTCTAGTTTAACTACTGATTTTTTTTGGGGTCTTGAATCTTAAAAAAAGGACCCTGGCGAAGCTGAGGAAAGTGGAACGCAGGGAAAATTGGTGGAAGCACTCAGGCAAATGAGAATAAATCATAGGGGGAACTACCGCCACCTTCTGGAAGAGATGCTGACTAGTTACAGGCTAGCTAAGATGCAGGGAGAAGAGTGCACTGCTGAATCAGCTGCAGCATCTACTTCAGATACTCATGCTGGACCCAGTGACCCCGTACCAGACACCCACACAGAATCTGGGAATCACCTTGCTGAAATACAGAGCTCAAACGAAGATTCAGGGATGAATGAGATGAGTGATAAACAGACATAATGTTTTACATAGTGGATTTAATGCTTCGCTTCACTTGGCCTATTTTCCTTTGTTTAGATCTCAACATTTGTCATGTCTATCCTAGAAGTCTGTTTGTTTTTACTTTAGTTATTTGTACAGATTTGTTTATACAAAGCTCTTTTTTTCCATGGATGTTCAACTACTATGGTATATTATAGTAATTGCATCTTATGTCGCGTAGCAAGCAGTTAACTTCCCATTTGAGACTTTGAATTTTTTTAAATCCTGTGACACCAACAATAGGAATCTAGCATGATAATGCAAAAATAAATTTTAAAACTTTTTCTTTTAAGCCCGTTCTTAAATAATATTGATGGTGTATGTTTGCTAACTGTAATTCGCATCACAATTGTATCTTTTGTGCAAATTATTTGAATTATACAAATTCTTCACTCTTTTTTTTTTCCCCCAGCATCATATACTGCATGTTTGTATTTGAATTGTGTATAGTTTATATTACCACTAAATTACAAAAGCTATTACTTTTTAGGTTGTCACTTATTCTTCATGAAATGTGTTGGATTTTTTCCAATTTAGACTGTATCCACTGTTCACCATAAATATCGATTTTCTTGATGACTGTATTATTACTTTGCAGGTTGTAGTATAACACATATCCAGAAATTAAAATGTACCTAGATTTAGTACCTAGTGTCAAGTTCTAAGAATTTGTGTTTAAGTGAAAATAAAGAATATGCTGTGGAATAATATCTGTATGCATATTGACTCTTTTAAGCAAGTAATAAACTTCCTTTGAAATGCTATCATTCCGACATGACTTAACTTTTCATAGCTTCTGATATTAATGATGTTCATTGGTTTCTACAAATACTTGAGTCGTTTCTCAGGTTCGAGTTAAACATCAGCCATATAAATGAATAAACTGGCTATTCTACCTAAGTTTACCTTCTACCAAATATTTTCCTTGTCTTTTGGTGTACCACACGTGTATGCATGTGGATTTGGGTAGATCAGTGATGATACTGGGAATTTACAGTGGCGGTAACTAATCTGCTAATAAGTTAAATCTGGATTTCTTCTCAGCAGTCAGTTCATAATATAACACTTGCACAAAAATTTCATTGTTCAAAATAGGTACAAATATCACTGCTTTAATGAAAAAGAACCATGGGAATTTCTTGAGGACCAGGAATACCTGAAGGGCTGAATTCCTTAATATTTTACAGATTTATTTTTTGTAGTCCATGGATGTAGTATCTACGATTTAGTACAATTTTAGATAATACTTGGTTTTAAGTCTTTATGCTATAGTAGCTTTACTGGGTTCATGTTTTTATAAAAGTAAATTCCTTCATGAATTTGAGGAACAGAGAATGTTTATGTGTAGAAGCAGGCAGGTATGGAAAAAAAGGAAAATGTCTTCTGTCTTACACTAGTATTCTACTTAATTATGCCACTGAAATCCAAAGTGCAACAAAATGTTTTCATTTGTCTTGGTGAGTAGTAATATTTCTCCTCTTCTTTTCCTGTAGGGTGCTGGAGATCTAGAAGATCCGTGGTAGCCTTACAAATCTACTAAAATGCTTTTGATTCTGAAAGGGGGAAAAAAAACTTTAAAATCTGTTTTCTTCAATACAAGGGAAAAATTCTGGTGGATTTCCAACATTTTGTGAAATGGGCAGAAAGATATTAGAATTTTCCATCATTCGTTCATTTTTGTGTTTTCTGATATTGCCACTCTTAGCATTGCCTGTACTACAGTATTCTTACCAGCCTCAGGCATACTGATTACATCCGTAATGAACTTTGGCCCTAAAAGGAAGGAAGGAAGGAATGATTCTCTCAGCAGATGGATATATGTACCTGAGGTGCATGGGATTGTAGGTGTACTCTGAAGATATGCTATGGCTAAATGAAATGTGCAACACACAAGCATGAGAGAGTACAAGTAATTGTTTGAGACATTACTTATTTCACTTTACTGAGTTGGAAGGCTTTGCAGCTCTGTGGCTTGGAAGTAATTTCAATTGGGCAATACGCTATCAGATGTGTATTTTATTTTTTTTAAATTTTCCAGTTTTACCTGTATTACCAGACCGTTAGGTTTCCCTGCGGTGTCCAAATTGTGATACATTGCCTACTGCTTGCTTGAAGATAAGTGTATTTGGCAATAATATATGAAGATTCTAGGCATCTAAAAACCGTAAGAATTTTACGCATGTGTACAACACACCCTTAAACTCTTGCTAGAGAAAATCTTTTAAACCAAACTGATGAATTTATAGTTAGTAGTGACTTGCTTTGACATCTCTCACAGCTGCAGGTTTTTTTAAAAATGCTGAAAATTTGCCTTTATTATAATGTAAATTGTGATTATTTTTTTGTTCTATATGTGGTTTTCTATAGTTTTTTGATTTTTTTCAGCTTAAGATACAGACAGAAGTCTTGTGTAATATGGGTATAATTTTTAATTGTTTGCATTATTTTCAAAGTTCAAATTATCACTTTGAGATTACTATAAATACACTTAAAATTATCTATTTTAAATTAAGGAAATATTAGAGATATTTTCATGGGTTCAATGACCTTTCATTTTATAAGTAATGGGCATGGTACAGAGTGGCTGTCATGTAAGGTACTTGAAGATTCTTAGTTTAATTCTATTTTTGCAATAACCTTGACTTTTTTTCTGACTTCTTTGAGTTGTGCATGTAATGAGTCCAGTAAATGCTGAAAATGGGGAAGAGTAAAGTATTTATCTAAAATAAAAGCTATTGGGGAGGGGAAACAATGAATGTATCCATCTGTACATGATTTACATGCTGTGGATGCCTTGTAAACATTTTCCTATTTGTTTAAACTGTGTTTCAGCGAGGATGTAATTGCCCTTGTGTGTAGTTTTAAGCTAATGACAGTCATCAACTGGTTTTGTGTGAAATGGAATTCATGGTATTTTTCTGTAACTTTATCCCCATGGTGAGTCTGTAACAACCACATGCTCTTTCATACTGGTGCGGAAGGCCAGCTTTCCCAATCATTTTGATTCACTGTGTACCTGATTTTTTTTTTTGGTCTAGAGAGGATTATTGCCACAGTATATTTTATTTATTCATTAGATTTTAGCCTTGTAAGTTAAAGTGTTCTAAATGATGATGTTAACAGGTATTTGTCCCTTTACTGGTTTTTTGGGGGGGTTGTTAAAAGATAGGGAATGAAGAATGCAAAATGGTTTATTGTTCAGACTGTCCGCTCTGGTCCAACCCTGTACTGATAGTACCTTCCCAGTATGATATTGTGATGTTTCATACAATACAGTGAACATAACCAACTTGTTATCTTCAATAAAGGATTGCTAAAACAGTGTAATATGCTGTATATTTTCTTGAGAAGAATTTATCAAGAAGATGCTAGTCTTCTATATAAAAAGACAACCAAATAGGATTTATGAGGGGTTTCTTAGTGATGGATTTGTGTTTGTTCTCTAGCAAATGTGGCTCTTTGTCACAATAAGCTGGAAGTCTCAAAGTGGGCTTTTCTGTGGGAGACAGAAGAGTACAAACAACATTTAGAGCTCGTAGGGCTAATCCATCCCAAGTTCAGCTGGAGTAAATCTTATTCCAGGTATGGGAGAGCGTTCATTTAAAGTCTAAAAATTCAGATTAAACTTGACTTTTTAGTCAACTCATTTCTTGAAGTTCCTTAAAGATCTGAGGTTAGACCTATAAAGTTTTACTTTTGTACAGTGTTTATAGAAATTTCTCTAAGGTTAATGCTCTCATGTTAAAACTTCTACTTCAGTTCTAATACCTCGTTCCATTGGTAGGAGTTGTTGTACTCCACAGGCTCCAGTCCTATGAACGCTTACATGTGTGGGTTTTTTACATCATATGGACAGTCTCCCTGAAATAAAAGGGTTTATGCTTTTATTATGTAGAAGTGAAGCATGCACATAGGTTTTTTCAGAGAGAAGGACCATAGCTTGCAAAGCTACAATGCAATGACTTTTTTTTTTTCCCTCTAGATTAGTACTGCTTTCTGTTCTGGATTCTGAATTCTAATCATGGTTTTAGTTTAGTCAAAATACTGTTCAGATTTCAGCAGCCTGGGAAAAAAAAACCATGCTTGTTGACTTTGTATTCTTAGTGTGAGAAGTCTGAATGTTTGATAAAATTTGTTCATGTATTTGCCTTGTCAATTTTAACATTTATTTTAAAATTATGTTCTCTTAAGTATATTGCTACCTGCTAACTAACATAAAGATATTTCTGTAGAATGTTGAGAGCGGGGAGTGTCTCTTCCACCTCAGGTCTTTCTGACATGTCAAATTCAGCTTGATTCTTTTCTTCTCATCATTTTTATGACTTTTCCTGTATCGGAGACAAAGTCCATATCAGTTCTCAAATCTGATAATCTTGAGCAAAATAAAGATTTGTTTTTAGCTGATCCTCATTAACATGTTAAATGGAGTAGGGAATAAAGAAATGGATGCAAATATAAGTGGTGTCATCCTGACCTTCTCAAAAGGCTCATATGAGAGGTTAACTACAATGAGAGTCTTGTCTTAATAGACTGGATCTTCATGTGCTTATTTGAGGTTATGCAAACCTTTGCAGGACTTGGTGAAAGGATCCATACTTTTCATGGCCCTTATGTGAATCTGATGCTGATGTTGCTAATTAGGTGAAGGAGTTAAAAAAAAAAAAAAACCAAACAAATTGTACACTCAAAATAGGTAAGATGTCAATTTTTTTAACGCATCGCAGCCTAGCTATTAGTGGCTACATAGCTTCTTGGTATCATGTATAAAGTGAAGTTTAAGTCAGCCACTTAATCTGTGAGCTTTCTTACACTGTCAGCTATAATCACCAGCTTAAATCTTAAAAAGTAAAATTAGTCCCAGAAAACCAGTCATTTTTCTTTGGCACTTTAAAGGTTCATAGTGGAAGATCAATAGGAACTCGAACTTAGTTACAGCATTGAACCAAGCTTTAGTGGGCAATTTTTACTTTTGGAAGATGAGGCAAAAAAAACAGGGCTGCCTGACTTTAGGTATCAGGTGTATTCTGGCAGAAAAGCCACAGTGCCGAGCAGTTTTTAATCTGTCAACTAATTTGGGTTTTGTTGGGCTAAAAAGCAAACTTCAGATCTAAGGATTGTCTACTGAAGACATGTTGCTTTTAGCTCTTCATAGTTGTTTTTAGCTCTAAAATAAAAATTAAGTCAGAAGGAGGTGGCTCCACTGGTGCAGGTGAGGAACTACATGGGATGCTCCCAGAGATGAAGGCAATTTGACAAAACCACAAGAAAGTACACAAGTCACTGAACTTTTGCAGTATAATCTAGGTAAGTATGCAGTTTATGCAGCTGAAACTCCACCTGGGGTCTCATGTGTCTTTGTAACCCCTTTCTCTGTGTGCCAATCTGATCTTGTCTGGCTCATGTTTATCTGGACTGTTGTACAGATCTGACTTGGCTATGCTTTGCTTGTACCATTTTGTATTCCTACCTAGCTGCTTCTCTGTTGATCAAAAGACAAGTAGGTTTTTCATTTTAGCATGGCTGCGCCTCCTGTCTGTGTTAAGCTCACTGCTTGAGGTCATCTCTCATTTCTATCATTTCCTTTGTTACATGCTTAATTGGTGCTGCTGTGCTTTGCTCTTGCTCTTTTTACATCTGAAAGGTCATGTTACCCCAAATACCTTATCTTTACTTCTTCAAAAACCATCTTAAAGCTCTCCTTTGCTGTGATGCCTGGATTTAAAGACTGACTTGGATTATTGAGAACTTCTTTCTCCATTGATGAGTACTTCCTGCTTCTGTCCTTGGCTGTCCTTAGTTGTTTATATGCAGCTTGACTAGGAATTCCCAACAGAAAAAGCTTTGCTGTACTGTTGCTGTGATTAGCGACTGTGGATGAACATCAACTAATGGTTGCATCAGCACCTGTTTTTAAAACTTGCCAAAGACTGATAAGGATTCAAGTCATGGAAGTGGGCTTCTGTAGGAGAAAAAACAGACATTCTCCATCAGTTTGGTAATCTTTCCCTGAAAGCAGTTGCTCTTCCTCGTAAAGGAAGAAAAACACTGTGTAGTAGGAAGATGCATTCTGAAGACCTGTGGCAACTAATGGAAACAGTGTTGTTGAAAAGAATTTTTCCTGTTTTGTCAAATCTATTTTGGAAAGGACTGTTACCCTGGGTTTCTGCTCTCTCAGACTTTGGGAATTCAAGATGAGTTGTGGGAAAGTTTGAGGCTAGGTTGTAATAGTGTTTGGTGTTGTAAGGACTCTGCCTTTGACCTTTAAAAAGTTGGAAACAATCCAATTGAGTCCGCTCATTAAGATCTTGGAAGTCAATTTGGTCTGTAAATATAGAAATACCGATTTTTCTGGCCTTTTTCAGGCAGCTTCTGGATTCCGTTGGGTAGTTATGGGATGTTTTCAAACAAGTATTTTTCAGAGAACTTCTGTGCAAAGTTATGTCAGAAAATGACCAAATG